AAAAAGGGAAGGTACAGTATATTAGAAAGTTCAATAGTATTTTTAAGATATTGAAAACCAAACAAACGAAAGCCTTACCACCAAGACCATAAATATATTTTATTCCACCATCCAGGTGGATGCTGCACATTGGTGGTGGTGGAGGGGAGAACCCATTACCTGTAAAAGCACTTTGAGTGGAGTGTCCAGAAAAGCGGTATATAAGTGTAAGCAATTATTATTATTATTATTATTATTATTATTATTATTATTGCAATCTTGCCTCCAATGACAGTAGTGCACACTAGATGTCCTTCTTGAATGTCTTATGAAATAGCTTAACATCCTGTTGTGAAACACTTTGAAATTAAAAAATAACGGGACGCCAAAGCGGTTTCTGCATCAAGAGACAAAATGCCACTAGACAAATAAATGATTTTCAGTTTTCTGCAACTTATATGTTTTCAAATGATCACATAGTAATGTAGACTGGAGAAAAGATTTGCTAGTTTATCTACTGTATATATTTATATATAGTATATCGTGTTTTTATTGCCTTTTCTTCTTATTGTCCCTGGAATTCAGAATGGATATCAGACCTAAAGAAAGGTCAGCAAGTTACGGGTGACACCATCTTACTCATCTTTACGTTACTCAGCGTTACTCATCTTACGAACTGTGATATACTGTATGCAACTAAGGATACAATTTTCATATGATGACTCCCATGTATACCACAAAACCATTGTACAAGCATACCAAGCGTGCCTTTTTTAATATAATATAAAATAAATAAAATCCTTAAGCTGGTTGAAAGGACTTACTTACTAATGAGAGCAAGTAGAGGTAATGTAAAGCTGGTGAACTAATTATATTTGCTTTGCTTTTGCCTTATTTTTACTTATTAGCACTTTCATCCAACAATATCAGAAAAGAGAGCCACAGATAAAAGTGGCAAAAATGTCAAAATAGAGAATCAGTCTGTTAGAATACAGGTTATAAGGCTTGATTAGGCTGTTGAATGTATACTCATCAATATTCGAGTAATTAGAAAGAAACTCATGTTGCCCTCATTTTAATAGGTAAGCAATGTTGTTTTAAGGAACACACCTCTCCTAGGACTACGTTATAAAGACATCTTTGAGTGCTGTTTAGAAGGCTCTATTCTTCTAGAACGCAAGCACATACAGTACCTAAGATTACACTATGTTTCTGCAGGTTACTACAAATACAGGCAAAACAGTTTAATATCACTCTTACTAAAGTCAAAAAGTCTTATACAGCCAATTGAAACACCTTCAAATTATATAAAATTTGATATTAACATCCAATTCATTTCAATCCCCAACATCACTTTGATTTGCCATTCTATTACGACTGTGTTTTGGCATGCTTGGTCTACCATATTTGTAAACGACTTGTTATCACATAAGCATTTCAGCTGCACAGTGCTAATTATTGTGAGTCAAAGTCATATTAATACAGAGGGATACAGTACTTTCCTTATTCTAAATACAAATGTAAAAAGCTAACACATGGATTCCTTAATTATAAAGAATAAATCATTTTTTTTCTCAATCTAAGAAAGTAGAAAACCTCTGGTTGACACATTTTCAATGTATCCATCAAAACGTTTTAAAGAGAAGCAATCTAGGTGTCTGTCATTGTTTTCATGTGACCTCCACTACTAAAAGAGCACATACAGGAAAGTATAAGGATGCAGAAAATATGCTTTTCAACTGGTTTAACATTCATATGTGGTTGAAACATGGTTGCTGTTTGCTGAGAATGCTGACAGTTTTGACATAGAACTCATGCATCACTTGTTCAAGAGTTTTTTTTGGAATGCTTTAAAGACAGCTGCAAGTTTGAAGTGGCAGCTGGTGCATCTGCATCAGTTTTGTGAGGACACTTTCTCTGAAACATGAAATTGCCTCTACTTTTTGATGGTTACACTGTAGATAATGATAATATGGATAAGACAGGCCTGTTTTACAGTGCTTCCTGACAAGACACTTTTCATTTGAAATTCACAGTATCAGAGGATCACATGATGGTTACAATGTGCACCAACATTATCTGTCGTGGACAAATGTAAACTCTTGGCAATCAGGAAATCTAACCTTTTCACAACATCAGCTTCACATATTATTAAAGTTTTCAGTACTTTAAAGAGATAGTATGTAGTTTCAATTATTCTAACAAACATTGTAATATTTGTTTTGCCAGGCCTATCCAATAAATAAATATAATTGAAGTATTCTATACCAAGTGGCTGGAATAGTCACACTTCCTAAAGCTGTGTAATATGCATTATCTTGCCTTTTAACATAAACTCAGCTTGGTTTTAGATACCGATGAGGATGAGGTAATTGTGGTGATCCACAGTCCAAACTGCACCATGTGAAATAATACGTTAACATAGCCGCACACTCTGAAAACATCTGGCATCCATGAAAATTCTGAAATCCACTATCATTCTTATGATTTTTTATGCTCCAAAATTACATATCATTGGAGCAGTGCCTCTTAATCTAATCTAAAATTATTCCTACAAATGTTACATCTATCAATATAAAAATAATTCCATATGCACTATTGAATATGGCTATCCTTGTCCATTAAGTGCCCATCACTTTATTGGCCATATACAATTTCTTGTATAAGGAATTTGTCTTTTTTGCATACCCCAACTTGCTCTCCATGAGACACACAGACAAGGAGAGAAGCTTGGGGTCAGAGTTTGCCATTTATATGGCACCCCTGGAGTAGTTGGGGTTAACAGCTTTGCTGAGGGGCCCAACAGAGTAGGATTCCTCTGCCAGCCACGGGATACGAACCAGCAACCTTCTAGCCACAGGCACAGATCCTTAGGCCCCCACACAGCCCCATGCAGTATCAGAGGATGCACTGAAACATGCACTACTGCATATTGTAACAGATCAGCTTGATTTGGGATATCTTTTTTGGTGAATTTTCAAGCTGAAGGAAGTAGAAGGTGTTCTTGCATTCTGATAAGTAACTGTGTAGCCAACATTTTTAGTATACTATACTGCCAATATAGAAACCACTACCAATACTATAAACCTTCACTAAAATGTGGTTTGGGGCTGTTCTCTTATTTGATTTTTTGCAATGCAAGTACTGTAAGTCTAAAACTGTAATATAAACCCAGCATGGAATTTTTAATACGCAATCAGGTTTAATGGCACTGGAACTGTCATGCACCCCTGCCACTCCAGGGCACTTAAACACAGAACGGGCCAGACTCACTTGCATCTCATATTTGCCATGGTAGTATCTGTAGGTTGAATTTTAAGATGAGAAGTAACAAACTATAAGATACTATAAGTTGAGTGAAACATAAGAACTAAGTAATTCATACACCAAAGGGGGCATCTAATCCAAAAACGTAGAAAAGATATCCACAATTTTAAATCTAAACCAAACTGGACTTCCTTCACAATACCAGGAATAATTCTGAAAGTTTTTTTATTATTATTTCTATATGTTCCTAAAACCTACAATGCTAAAACTGATAAAACTCAATGCTTTAATTTGCTGGTACACATTAGTTGAAAAGTTTATCATAGGTAAATGAGATAGCGCTGCTTCTTAATAACTTGAATTTGTTTTACAGTATGAATACAGCACAAGGAATATAAACTAACTATAATCTAATAGTTTTAAGCCTGTGTGCAAAAAAAAATATATATTTCATATGTTGTATAAAAAGTATGCATGACTGAAGCATGTTGGAAAGATTCTGTACTGTATAGTTTCTCCAACTTTTTTACAAGCCACGTAATTTGTAACCATCAATTTTAAAACGAATAACGGAATATAACTGTCAGGAACTAACAATGATATTTTAAGCAACCTGAAGAAGGCTCCACGGCCGAAACGTTGTGTTCTCTTTCTTCTTTTTTTCAGCATGGAATAAACCTATTACTTGTTCCTATATTTTAAGCAATGTCTGCAAGAGCTTGAATACATTAAAATAAGGGTTATATGCAAATTTCAGTATAAATCTAATACAAAGTCATGTAAATGTTTTATTAATATATCGAGGAGACTGATGCACATCTGGATTTGCAAACTTAATACAAAGAAACAATTAATATTTATTCTGACTAATTCATACTTTCCAGATAACATAAAACACTGAGGAGTTACATTGGCTACTTTCACATATAACACTGTATAATACAGTTTTATATACATAATGTAAAGACATTTCCTTTTTTTTACTGTCTTTGTCTTATAAGGTTTTCTAAGAAATATCACTTGACCATGAAATTTACTCAAATTTAGCCCACTATTCCCTTGTCATCCGAGAACAGCATAACATGTTATAATGAGATTTTTCACCATTCGCCTCCGATTTCAGTACAGTACATTCACCTTTGTAGTCATTTCTGCTCTGTAACAACACATTGCACCAAAAGAACTGAAGCCCTGTATTCAGAAACACTGGCAACTTTCTATTTGGTAATTTGCTGTCTAAAACTGTACTTTGATACAGCTTTATAATAAAATAACAATATTATTTATAATTTAGATAACAGGTATTTAATCGGACACAATACTAATGTGAAAATATTACAAGAGTAAAAAATATTTTTTAAATCCGCAAAGCAAAAGCTTCATAAAGGCTGCTAATGAGTACCATTTGCACCATGTGAATTTTCCTCATTTGATTTGAATCATATTCATAACTTGTGTGCCATTTATTTCAGAATATTATTACAGAGCCTTTAAATTGTTCTATAACCATAGCTGCATACAGAATAAAACTTTTGTACTCTGGACAAAGGTGTGCTATACAGCAAATATCTTCCAGAGCTTTTGATGTCATCTATTGTATTTTTTTCCTGTTTCAAAATGACAAAAGAATGAGTATTCCACATGAGAAATTAATGGAGACCTGGTTTAAGAACCTAAGAAAGTAACAGGAGCTGTGAAATAATTTAGTAATAAAGAGTCTTCATCATAATAAATTTAAATAAAACCTTTTTAATTACATCTAGTGTGTACAAAACATTTTTGACCACTGTCGAAAACAAAACTATAAATCTGCTCCAGTACAATATGAAAAGCAAGACAAAGCTAGCATCTTAAGCTCTATTCACATTAAATCTTAACTGCTACCGTCTGCCTTGTTCCACTTGTTCTACTTGTGTCAACTCACTTTGTGCTGTGCAGCAAAAAGATAAGAAGCAGCTAACGATTTCCAGAAGCATTCGCTGTTTGCCTTTGCTGTGGTACTTGATAGATGTACGTACTCTACACACCTCCATCATCAGCCATTGATCTCTCCAATGCAACTTAAATCAACAGTAGCTGCTTGAAAACTGAATGCCCTTTTGTGCTAATTTCTGGAATGCAAAAAGAAAGCAGTAAGACAGATGCATGTAAGACACAGTACACCAAATAAAACTTCTAAGAACAGTTTAAGAACCTAGACCTTTCTAAGAAAAAAAAACTGCACAGCATGAAGGATGAAGTCAAAGGTGCGGGAACACTGTATTTAGGATGTGTTTGCATGATTCTGTGTCTCCTGCTTCAACGCAGTGATATATAGATGTGCTCCTGTAATTTATTGGTACATGCCCAGGGCAATAAGCAGTCTGAGGATTTATTTCCAGACGGCACAGAGCAGCGAAGCAAAATTGTCAAGTTAAAACTGACTGAATTGACTGAAAATTAAATCAAATACTTAAATATTAATAAAAGTAAATATTAAAAGACACATGAGTTTACCAGTTTTAATCATATACTGTAGTTGTTATATAGCTGTGTGGGAAGAGATGTACAGACGCAGCCACTCAGAACATGCAGTATTTCTTCTATATACATTACCTGTACTGTGGAGCGTTGTGTTTTGCGATCAATAGGTGGCACTTGTGGTGCGTTAGCTGTTAGTGAAACCATTGCTTCATTTGCTCTGTTTCTCTACTGTGCATGTTTAATTCCGCTTAATACGTAATACTGATATGGAATTTTACAACTAAAGTATAATTTTGGTAGCTGAAAATAAAAACAGAAGTATAATGTAATATATACCTAATGTAAGTCAAATTTCAGCAACTAGTAATCAGAAAAAAAATTGCTTTAATTTCTGATTGAATACATTTCACACATACTGTACTGTATGCCATACAGTGGCATACTGTACATTATACCTAATCTACATACAGTAGATGGTAGTGGAACTAAATATAAAAAACGAAAGTACAAAGCAGTATTCCACCTTCTTCATAAACATTTTATGCATCAAAGTCTTTAACTCAGTAACTTACAGTAGTTATTTTGGAAAGGGTTTGACGTGCTCGCTCTAAGAATATAATGTTTACGTACTTTATAAAAAGATAGAATGTTTTATACTTTTTAAGAACACGCAATAAGAACACTTTCTGTTGTAAAAAAAGTTTATAATACTGATTTAATACTTCTTGATAGGGAATATTCATATGGAATCATGTAACTAAAGACATTTTGGCAACTAAAAATATTACTGGTGGATATTTTGGAAACATTTTGAAATTTTTTAACAACTTAAATTTTTCTTATAGTGAGTAATGCACAATGAAACACAGCAGTTTTAGCAGAATGGTTTAGATGGCCACCTATTACACAGAAGATGAGCAGTTCAAATCCCAGACAGACCATTGCTTTGGTTTGTTTTTTACATAGCTGAATAAATAAATAATGTATTATTGTAGCTTGTTGTGCATGTGATGTGCCTCTTTCAGGTTTACATCTGCATTGAGAAAATCGATATTTTGTCTCAAGACAAATTTCAGCAGTGAGTAATCGGGGAAAAAAATTAACTTTAGATTTTGATTATGAAAAATATATTTCACACATACTGTACTGTAGTGGCTTTCAAACCATATGGTATCATAGTGTATATATATATTATATTTATACTGTATACGATCACACTGCAGTCCATTGATCTGTACACTACTGTTTTGGTATATCTATGGATATGACTTCATGTGATTTGCATGTGGAAACAAGACCCAGTGGGTGTTTTGTTTTGATTATGAATTAGTCCCTGAGGCACACTATCCACGGCTTTGAACTTACAAAAAATATCAAACATTTGTTGTGCTTGCATGAGAGAAAGGGTTACCTTTTGAGAAGTCATGTATTGCTTACAAAGTAGCTGATATTGACAAACATAAATAGCTAATTTTGCTTGAAGCATTTAAAATCTGTCTGCCTGACTGTACTGTAGCTTTCATTTCATTGAGGAGAAAGTCACCTTGCTGATACAAGCAGCTGTGATATCAGATGAGTTTGTATTAATACACTGGACCCTTTTTACTGAATTTTCATCACCTTTATTACCTTTCTCTGTCGGGGGGGGGGGGGGGGGTTGGGGGGTTGGGGCTGAAGTTATTATCTCCGTTCTGATATGTCCCTAGTACCGCAATGAGATTGTAAATGTTAAGTGTTGCATTTACTGTAATACCCTTTTTATAAAATAATTTAATATTTAACACATTGTAATACACAGTTAAAAATTAATAGAAAAGATTAATAGTCTAAACAGTACACAAAATTCTATTATCGGAAAAAGATTGTCTCATGGGGCTCAGCATTGACCGCAATTTGAAACCAGGCGTTTTCTGGTGACAGCCCAGATGCTTCCATATGCCATGTTAAACATTTACTGCTCCACCTGGAGCTTTTACAAAGTAATGCAGTCCCACAACAGAATATTTTTTAAAAAGCACCGCACACTATGGTACCCTGAGCTGTGTGTGGTGCAATGTGCTACATTATTCAGCATGCATTCTGAATGGCGGGATCTTTAACATAAGATGGCAGGATCTTTAACATCTCACAATATAAATTCAAAACAAGTGGATTATTTCAGATCCAAAACTGCTATCTTTTTCAATTGTTGGTACAGTATTGCTTTCAATAGTGGCCAAAGACCCTTCTAGACTGAGTCTCTACTGAGTCTTTCACTGTAGACCTTTACAGTAGACCCAGTGTTGATTAACCCAGTTAATAACACATTGTAATCAGTATAGTGTTATTAAATATATATATATAATAATTTACCCATGTCATGCCTGTACAATAAATTGTCTTTTTTGCTACAAAAAATATTTTCATTTTTCCAATAAGAACCGGGGATTTGTATCAGATATAAATATTTAAGATGCTGAATATTAATCACATAATTAGGCTGTGTATAAAAATGTTTTGTGATGAAAGTTGCAACGCTCATGCACATCTACACTACATTAAATAGTAGAAAATAGTACCATTTGGAGGAAATGGATTTCCGAGCAAAGAGCTTCTCTGACACTTTCTAGGTTCTGTTCTTTGTAGAATTTCAGCTCCCTTTGAAGTCTGTATAACAAAAAATGAGTTACAGAAAAAATATTTTGAATTAAATATTTCTGAAATTGTATTGCTGGTTACATATATTTAAAAACAATCCAAGGTAATTTTAGCTTTTTTTATTGAATCATACACAAATCAAGGGTAATGCAAATGGAAACTGTACTTCTGAAGTTAATCCCCCAATGAGAATAGAAGTACACAACTAACAAAACTAATAAAATAAATAAAATCACACAGTTAAAAAAATATAAATTGAAGCTTAATAGTTTACAATGTCATTAGTTTAACATGAGATATTTCTAAAAGGTATACTTTACTATGTTTTTAAACAAGAACTCCATCTTTACACATCAGACAAACCATGGTAGTAAACGGAAAGCTTTTGTACAAAGCTTTATATTACCCTTTACATAAATCACCCTGTCTTCCAACTTAATTGTAATAGGATGTTATTTCCAAAATCAACAACATTCTTTCATTTTTCAATGCAAGCACTTGCAAGGTTTATTCCATGCTGAAACGCAAATAAAAGAAACACAACGTTTCGGCTGTGGAGTCTTTTTCGGGTGAGGCCTCTTCACACCTACGTCGACTCATCTTTTTTATAAGAACTGTCCTCTTTCAAAGCTCTTTAAATCACTGTTCGGCAGATCTATTCCTATTCCACCTGTCTGAGCATTTAGATCTTTTTCAACTCTTATCCGATTCCATCTCAGCTGAACTCAGCTGAGAGATACCTCTCTTCCTCCTTCTCTTTCCACTGCAGTTTATTCAGCTCTGCCTTCTGCAAAACAGACAGCTCCTCCTCCTTCATTTGTCTCTGATTCTGCCTTCTGCTCCTATCGCACAGCCACTGATCTCTCTAGTAGATAACATTTCTCTTCAAATTCCCCAGCAGGTTTCTCAGATTCCTGAACCCCTTTCTCACTCTGTAGCCGACATTAATTCCCGTCCGCTGAAGCTTGAAAATTCCCTCCATTCACTTCTGCCTCCCGCTTCAGTCCCACCCATTTCCAGTCTCCTTCTACCCATCCCAGTGTCAGAGTTTCACCCTCAGCACAGCTACTGCCTCAGGGTCTCAGGTTGAAGCTACAGTCCATTGTCATACTCTTGCTCCTCATTTGCTCTGCCAAATTCTTGAAGGTAAAGATGTCAATCTCATTCCTCTCTCCTTAGTCAGCTCTGAATGTATTGATCGCTGAGTAGTGGATTGTGGAGATCTTGCTGTTACTCTAAAATCCTGGGATCCACGTCTTCTCAAAAGTGAATTTATTTTGTCTTTCTCTATTTTCAGAGTTGTCATCTGTTCTGTCTACCCCCTCAGGCACCAGGAGTTGGACCACTACATGTACTATATCGTTGATCTTTCTGTTTGTTATGCTGGTTCTTTAACACCACAAAGCCTTTTCAGCTAAAGCTGAGGCTGGTCTCACTGCAGATAATACTGTTGACTGATCCTGTCCCAATACTGACCTTTTCCACCAAATTTTTAGCGGCCTCAGAGCGCACACCTGCAGGATTTGTGCATCTACTGCCCCCTCCACCTCATTCTGTTGTAGCAGCAATGCTTATTAATAAGACCAAATGAAGTGTTGCTGTGCTTTTTCCAGTGAGGCCCATCTCTCTCTTATCTCTGTGGTCCAAGCCACAGAGGAGCTATTCATGTTTATGCACTGATTTAGGGGTGTTTTTCTTCCTGACAACCAACAGTTCCAAGGATCGGGATGCAACCAGCTACCATGATAGATGCCCACTCTTGACATCTGGTTGTCTAGTGAGACCCTAAGCACATCTGGATTGTGGTCCTAGAGGTGCTTGAGCAACTTGGCTGTCTGACAATCACGTGACTGCCAGTGCTAATAGGTGTTGGGACTTGTAACTTTTTCCTACATGCCGAGCCAGAGAGAGCCCTATGTAAAGACAGAATTCTGCCCGAGGTCAAGCTTGCAGCAAGACTTCATGAGCTGCTAGCAACCACCGTTGTATCCACCTGATCACCGGAGCAATATAGTTGGACTTTTGTCAACATCTGAATACTTTTATTCAAAGGTAGCCTAACAAAGAGTGACTTGCTCTGACAATGCAGTCATCTCTGTGCAGACTTCAACTTGTCCAGCAACACTAACTACCAGGTCCCTGTAGAGTAACAATGGTCCAGCGCAAAGCTGACAGAAGAACACTCTCTCCTTCTCCCCACGACACTGAGCCACACCAGGACTGGTGGGGCATCGAGCCAGCAGACCACGGATTGGATACTGCTTCGGCTGTTCAGCTGTCAGCTGTCAGCTGTTCCTTAAATTTCCGTACTGGGAGATACAAATCTATATACTGGATGAGTCCAAATTCAAAATTCTACATTATCGACCTTGAGAATTCAACTGTTATCTCAACACAAGTTGATATCAATTTAATTTGCATAAGTAATGTATTTACCTATGAGTATCTAATGTAGAATCTGTATTAATGAGACTGATTAATGAGATAGTACAGTCAAATTTTATACTAAATGCATATTCCTTGTCTTGTATCTCTTCATGATTGTGATATATTCTGTATCTTTGTAACCCTCACAATAAGACGAGTATACACTTATGGATGCAATGTATCTGACTGCCTTTTCGGATTTTTAATAGCCGCAAAATTCACCAGTTCCTCTGTATTCCATTTTCCAGTGTAGGGGTTTTGTGCATTTAGTGTGACAATTATTAATTGTAGCAGTAAATCAAAAAATGATTCTTTGATGGCTATTAGAAAATCGACCTTGCGGAACAACTCAGCAACGCATACACACAGATACTAATACACAAGAATACATTAATAATAAAATGTGCATATAAACATAACAGATCTTATAGTGAGGGTTAGCAGAATACAAAAGGCATATATTCAATCACGAAGAGTTACAAATAGCAAGAGATACATTCAATATACCATTCATTTATACCGTTAATTAGCTTTTTGATTACAACTTCTACACTAGATACTCAAAAGCAAGTACATCAGTCATGTGAATTAAATTGATATCAACTGGGATTGAGGTAACCATTGAATTCTTGAGCTGCAATGTAGAATGTTGAATACTCATTCAATTTATGTGGATTCCGATCTCCCGCGAACACAAAGGAACTGTCACGTTCGCTAACCCCTCCTCTTAAGGGCGCTCGACCCCTTCCTTGTTCTGCACTATTGTCTGCACCTGGTCCCTAATCCCGCTCCCCCTTAAAAGCCATACCTTAGCCATACCTTACTCCTGGTTCCTCATTGATTTCCACATCATGAGAGCCCGGGGTCTTGCTGCGTCTGGCTCCGTTATGCTTTTAACTTCCTAGTTCCTAGTTCCTAGTTCCCCTCGCCGGTTCCGACCCGGTTTCTGTCCCCCCCCCCCACCGGATGGATCGCCTGGCTATGGACTATGGACCAAATTTCCCGTTTGGATTTCCTACATGGATTGTTCACCTGGATTCACTCCCCCTGAACACCAGCACTGCATGGACACGCCCCCCTGTCTCCAGACCCTCTCCCGCATGACTTTTTCCCTAATGTACCTTCACTATTCTGGATCGTGTCGTCCGCATAGGGCCCGAAAAGAACTGTTTGTGACAGGAACAGCAACAGGCTGTTGCTGCATCCAATCGGCGTCGTCTGGCTCGGTGCCAGACAGTCCTGGTGTGGCTGGAGGTGTGGGAGAAGAAGGGAGAGATTCCAGCTGCAGCGCACTGGCAGTGCCTGAGGACCTGGCTTGTTAGTCCTGGCTGAACTAGCAGAGTTTGTGCACATTACTGCGGGTCCGAGCAAGTCACACTCTTTAGACGGGAAGAAGACCTGTTTGTTTTCAAAGTAGCGCTAGTCTACTAGAATACTAAGATTCAGCTGTCGAAAGTTCCGACCGTAGTTCACTTGTTGATCAGACGAGCACTCACGGTGGGCTACCAGCAGTTCACAAAGCTTGCTGCTGGGCTAGCCTCAGGGGGATCTTTTGGTTACGCGCAGGCAACCTCCGGTCTCGACTCTTAGAACAAAATAAAGTCCTGGCACTCAGACACACTGGCCGTCACGTGATTGTCCGAGATGAGTCTGAGAACATCCTGGAGAGGCGCCAACTGGGCCCTTCCTATGCTGCCTCTTTTATCTGGAGGAACTACGGTTGTTCATTGGTTGAAAGTTTCACAACATTCGAGACCCACATGGGGTTACCTTCGCTCTACCAGTTCCTGATTGGTTGATCAAGGTGGAGGATGGGTAACAATGCTCTCTGACAGAGTTGTAAACAACTTGGGATGAGACTCTCCCTTGGAATCTCCCAGACAGAAAGGAGCCAGAGATGACCATTCATTAAGGTGGCTGGAGAATCTCAGCCTTGGGAACTGTTTCTTATCAGAGAACTCTACCAGACAGAAAAACACCTTAAATCTGAACCACATGGAATGGCCTCTCTGTGTCCAGCACCACAGAGATGAGGGAGAGAGACTGGCGGGGGGAGCAAACTTAATTCCTGTATTATTAATAAGCATTGCCGCTACACCAGAATCGGATCTTCGACTCTGTACCCTGTCTTGTATCCCAGACTCCCACTTCTTTCTTTTTTTATGCTTTTCTAAACTGATGCCCTTCGCTGTGGATGTTCAGTAACCAGGCAGGTTTTCTCAATGACTGTCAATTTTAATCTCCAATGTTGGTCTGAATCCTGTTATACATTCCTCATTCTTTCAGAATTGGAGCCGCTGCCTCTGCTATCTTGGATATTCAACATTAAAACACTGGGCCGTTCATCCTCCTATGCAGTCAACCGTAATGTACCCACCACTCCATCAAGACATTTCAGCTGCTTATTATGCACTGCTAGTATGCCTGGAGTGGGGGTGGCTGTTGTGCCAGGGCCACCAGAGTTTTTCCCCTGAATAGGCATGTAGGGGATTTTTCTTCTCCACTGGTCAGGCTCACACATAGCCTCTACATTTTCCTTACCTATTCTTCTCTCTTCTTTCTTTTATTATGCATCGGCGCATACTTTTGTTTGTCCTCATGGGTGTTGGGAGAGAAAGTGGGCGGAGGGTCCATCTTTGGGGGGTAAGTGAAGCTCACTTCCCCCCAGAGGGGAGCCCTGGCCACATTATTCTCAGCAGCTCTAACATACTAATTATCATCTTCTCTGTCCCGTGAGGGCCTAGTCCAGTTGCAAAGCACTGCCTCAAAAGCAACTCTCAGTGAATCAGGGGACATCTTTCACTTCCTTCTCAAATAACTTTCTCGTCATTCTCAACCCCTCAAGCAGCACCTCTCAAAATGATTCCTCAAGTCAAGGGGTGCTTTCTCTTTCCCCTTGAGGGATTTGTCCACAGTTGCGAGGCAGTGCCTCTCATGCGACTCTCAGCGATTTAAGGGTCTATCTCCTCCTTTCTATCCCCTGAGGACATAGCCTAGTCATGAGGCAGCTCCTCTCAAGTGACTCTCAGTGACTCAGGGGTTGTTAATGTTTACATACCATGGAGGCTGCCGAGTCAGACAACCCGAATGGACCCCTTGGGTTACACATGCGGTCTGGATACTTTCCACTAACTTTACTAAATCCTGCTTCTCCCCTTGAAAGTTTCTGTTTTGGGGACATGGGCCAATGCCATTAACTGGCATATTATTCTTTACGTATTATGATTGAACCAGGTTTTTTTTTAATCTCCTGACCAAATCCCTGCTGGAACTTGCCAAATTCTGCCACTCTGTGCCAATAAATCACATGGCCCCTCGGGTATTTTAATACCCCACAATTACAAAATAAGATGCTTCACTTGCAGTTTCAAGCTTCAAATCCTTCAACTCCTACCTATCATGGCTCAATAACTAACCGGCACATTAAATGGGACAGTCAAAGGTTCCATTAAAGATAATCTATTCTACTGCATTTGCCTTACACTGTACCTCCATAAATCTTGTCTTTTTTAAAATGCCTGATTTGAAAAATATTATTTATTTGAAAAAAAGAAAAAAAAGAAAGGCTGTAATAGAGCATGCTCAACACCTCTGTATTTTCTGATGCTACTGCACTGAACAGGGAAAAGTACATCAGCATTTAGTAATGTAATTAAAAATGTTTTTCAATGCAAAGTGAATACGGAAGAAACTGTATTTATGCAGTTATTTTATTGGCTCCTTTATCCAAATTAACCTAAAAGAGGTAAAACAGGAAAAGCATCCTTATATAACATCCTTATATCAAAACAATTTTAATTACCAAGAGAGAAGAATACAAAAATATGGAGGAAGAGTGTGTTAAACTACAAAAATATTCAAGAATGAGCAGAAGACTTATTCCATTTTATATTTTATATTGTAAAAATGACAGTTTCTGGAATATGTTTTCCTATCCTCTCTTTGTCTTCAATCCTATACTTTCCTTTAATAAATTGTTGTGCTTGGTGTATTTTAATAAGGCAACACAAACTGCTTCAATTTTAAGTTGTACAAATAAAAAATTATTAATTTAAAATAAGGCTTAATTTTATTTATATACCGAATAAAAACAAAGACACAGGATCTTCTCCTGGAAGATCTCACCCCCCTTCTGATAACACATAACAAACATAATTTAAACAAAAATCTGCCTGAATCACAGCAGAATTAAATTATTCTGGTTTATTGGTGTAAACACACCTAGTGTGTTGAAGATGACAGCAGGCTAAGCCAAGGGTTTAAAACGGATATGAACAAGGATAGAATGTCAATTAAGAATGTGAAAATGAACGCTTATATGAAGGTAGAGAGACAACAACACAATAGCAGGCACAAATTGAGCGTGGAAAAAGAAACAATCACACTTTATCTTTTACCAAGCCATAATTGCACTCTAGAAAAAGCCGTCTTCTAAAATGTCAGCTTCACCAAAGGAATAATGAAAATTGACAGTATGCATTATATTGTTTAGCAGCCATTATACCTGTGATTAATGAAAACACTTAACTTAAATTTACAAATCACAAAATCACAAACTTCAGCAAAACCAAAAGCAATCACTCTCTTGGTAATGTACAGGAACTGTGAGGCAACTGTACCAAACAAAATCTTTCCAAATGATTTAAATCTAAGAAAAGCGTCATTTACTTCCTGCTACAAATTTAGTATTGATTTCCCTTTCATTAAGTTCTTAGCATGCTGCATAAAGCTTATTCTTTACACTGATCTACAGGAAACAGATCAAAGTCTTAATTACATAGATGGAACTAATGTTGCTATTTTATTTGCACACCCTGTAATTTATTGTGCTACAAAACAGTGTTTAACGCAAGTTTACAGAAAAATTTTACTGATTTTATAAGAAAAACAGCAGTACATAAATAATGTACATACTGTAAATACCAGTTATGACCAGATCTCACTTTGACAGTATGAAATATAGTACTTATATTTGGCTTGAAAACTGTAGTGTCCAAGTTAAAAAACATTTTAGTAGTAATCTGATATAATCAACTACATATTATTTTGATGCTGATAAAATCACAAAGCCAAAACATTATTTTTAATTATTAAAAAGTACATTATAAAAATACCCTAATTGGGAGGGGAAATAGAATTAGTCTTTGTAGCTTAAGTAGTTTCTTAATGAACATTTTATGAAAATGGATTTAAACAAGCTCTAGGACAAACATGAGGTTTAACTACATTCAGCTATTTATTGACAGGGTGAATATGAGGTACAAATTTTCACTTATTTCCTAAATGACTGTAATAATAATTTTGAATTGGGCAGATCTTTGCACAGATATCAGAACTAAACAGAAAAACATTTTTAAGTGATTAGTATTGCTGCCTCGCAGTACTGGGGCTGTGGATTCAATTGCTGGGGTGCCATCTGTGTGGAAACTGTATGTTCTCCCCACATTCATGTGGGTTTCCTGTGAGTGATCCTGTTTCCTTCCTTAGTCCTTTTGCCTTTTGGGAAAACTGGCCCTGGTGTGAGTTAATGTATGTCTGTGTCTGTGTAGACACAGTATGCACTTTGATTTCGACTGTTGCTTGCCAGGATAAGCTTCGGCTGCCTCCCGACCCTGTATTGGATAAAGCTCTGTGAAGCAGCAATGCTAACCACTGTACCAAAATGCCGCCCAATTTGACCCATTATGATATCAATTTTATTTCATTTTAAAAAGTCCTGTACAGCCAGAAAACTACATTCTTCTTTATAAAGCTTGATATTATACAATAAATAAGAAAATAGAACAAGAAACAGTTCAATATGCCATAATATCTGATCATGGGATACATTAATGGGAATAACCTGACTTTGCACTTCATAGGGAACAGCTCAACAGAGTGCAGATTTTTACTGAAGTCTCCAGGAGTGAAATTCTCATGAAAAAAAAAGGAAATTATGAAGCCAAAACCCTTCAATCATTTATTTAATCATTGGTTTAAATATATTTTAATTTGTAAAAAGTATTAACATTTATTAAATTGTGAAAAAAATACTTTAAAAATATTAACTGAAATCAATATTTTACTCTAAAAACTATAGATCAGACTGTCAATCAGACAATTAATTAAGGTTAAAGTACCATACTTCAAAGTTTTAATTATATTTTTTTCAGTGATTACTGTACAGATTTTAAGAAATATTTCTTATAACATATATCCACCAATTGTATATCTACCAATTAATCATGTAGTTTACTGTGCTTTCATTTCGCCCAAAATGATTACCAAGGAAAAGCACAATAAAGAACTGAACATGTAGCAGCTCACAGTCCCAGTGATGTGAAAACAAATTTACACTATTTATGCACAGTAAAGCTGCAAGGACAACTGTCATATGACATGGTAAAACATTTCTTCCCTATAACTCAATTATAATCCTAGAACAAATTTGCACTAAATCAGCTCCCTGAAATATTCAAAATTATAATTCATTAACTGTAGGAATATGTGAGTGTATGGAAATGCTTCAATAACATAAGCTTTGTTAGTCTTGTACTCTAACTATTAAATCTGTTCGTAAATGGCTAAGTCAAATGTTTACCAAACCAAATTTACTTTCTTACCTAAGGAATTCACCATCAGTCTCTGGTTTCTGGTGAATTTTTAGTTTTTCAGCTTTCAAAGTTTCTGTGAAAGTTATTGCTTCATTCAGGTTTTTTTCAAGGACTAAGAGAGAATAATAAACAAATAACAATTTGAGCCCACAAACAGCTGAACAAAAACTGCTTCAGGATGAAATAGTATCAAACAACAAAAGTAAGAATTTCTGTCATTTTCACTGAGCACTTACAAAGCCCTTGGAAAACCTGTTCCACTAAGGCGTATCACAAGTATCACTGTGCACTGTTTTAACTACTGTAAATCAAACCTCTAATCAGAACGTGCACAGTTTGCAATAAATAAGATGGCATACCTATTAACTGCTTTATGTCTTCAGTCTACAAGCAGGCATATTTTTAACACTTTTTGTAAAACTGCAATCAATAACAATATAAACAAATCATGAATCTATTTTATCTCCATGGTTACATATTTCATGATAGCATAAAATAAATTAGAACACTGCTGAAACATTAAATAGCTGAAAAAAGAGTAACATACTGTATGTTATTGATGATTATATAAGGGGTCTGCATTTTCTTGTCATATAAACTGAACCTATTTACTGAGAAGTCTACTAAGGTCGCAACTCAGAACAATGTTGTAAATCACCTTTTGTTTTGTCTTCAAGCTCCACCATCTGTAGCTGAAGTGAGCTCTTTTCTGACTGCAAAGCATTCAATTGAATATTTTTCTGTTCCATACACTCCATTTCTGAAACACACAACCTGAGCATTAACTTGGAAAAGTTCTTAGCTGAAAAATAAATAGACTGTTTGGATAGTTTTTTTCCAGTATTGTGCATCCCTAATAGCACTTTTTAATTGCGTAATAAAAACATTCACTATGTAATTACACACTGGTGCATCTGTTCAGTAGTACTTCATTCTTCTGTGCTGCACTACTGGATATTGTTTTGTTCAAATTTTAATGGACACAATCATGGAAATCTACAGTAGCAAGAGTAGGTAAGCATGCTGCAGAGTTTAAGACTAGACAGGGTTGAGTCAGTACTGCCTTAAAGATTACACAAGATGATCATTTTATGAGGGGTTGAAGTGCAAGGATTAATATTTATGCATAATATTAGTTATTCGTTTAACTAATAAGCTCATTGGTGGGAGAGAGAAAAAGACTCATTTTGTAGGAAACAAGGGAATTCTTACATACCCTACAGTTTGTTGTTACATTTGAACTAATTCTCCGAGCTAAGTACTTAATAACTTTTAATTAATATAATAATTGTCAATAGAGTGAACAGTAAAAAGAAGAAGAGGTAACACAAAATATATTGATCTTTTCCATTCAAACTTTTTTACCTCTATGTAATAAACCGTATCTAAAAAATTGAATTATTACTTCACAGATCTACAAAAATAATTTCTGGAAGGAATCATTACCAACAGAAAAGCGGAATTTATAGCTCTTAATGCCAAGGAGAAGAAAACTGAGGCTCAGGTGAAAATTTGATTTGTAAGCTTTGTTTTATATTGCATGGCAGCTAATTTTTATTCTATTGATTGTAAAAAAATACAACTGAAAAAATACAATACTGAACATTTGTAAGATGCAAATATATCTGAGAAACTCAATGACACAGAACCTTGTACACAAATGAACAAATCCCTTCCACTAACTACCCCTTCAGTTACTTCAGTTACTGCTAACAAACCCTAATGCTAAATTTAAAAATAACAGCAGATGTAAATATTGTCTGTAAACTTCAAAGGTTTATGCAAAGCTCAGAATAAAGAATAAATAATATGGGTCTACTAAATAGCTGGATCTTACCCTGACTCCTGTATCCCAGATAGAATTGTACTTTCCAATAGTACTTTCAAACAGCTCTACCAAACAGCTCCCTTTCATAGGCAGTACACTAACAGCTGAGCTATTTAACACAATAACAATAACCGATACAATAAACTTACACAACCGCACAACGTGAGTATGCCCTATAAACTCAGGATGATCTTCTTCAAAATCAGTATCATATATTTTATTTAAACCTTCTATTATAAGAGAAATCAATATAGGAAAAAGTCAACACCTACAGTATTTACATATGGTCCACAACAATGTTACACTGTTATTATGAGAACACTTACTCAGCAAAATAGATTTGTTTTACTTTTTGTTACTCAGCTATGATAAAACTGAGGTTCTGTAGTTTGGAGGCAACAATACTGATAGGACTACTATAACTTCAGCACTTAACTCAGAGGATTTAAAAAATTGCCTCAAAGACTCAGCACGTAACCTAGGCATTATATTAGACACAAGGCTATCATTTAACTGTCATGTTAAAACATTCTCAAAAACATACTTCCTACAGTTAAGAAATATTGCAAAATAAGGCAGATTCTCTCCACTCAAGACAGAGAAATTAATACATGCTCTTACTGTATATACAGCAGGTTAGACTACTCCAATGCCCTACTATCAGGGAGCACCCATCACTCTTTCAACACCTTACAGCGAATTCAGAATACAGCAGCTAGAATTGTTACTAGGAGCAGAAAGTAAGACCATATAACCCCCAAACTTAGCTCTCTCATTGGCTTCCTGTCAGGTAGAGGGCGGGCTTCAAAATCCTTCTACTTACTCATAAGGCTCTCAGAGGTCAAGCACCTGTCTATCTAATGGAACTTATTCATTTATACCATCCAAGTCGCCCGCTTAGATCACAGAATGCAGTCGTTTTTGGTTCCTCTCCTCCGTTGTCTTCTGGTCTTTTCTGTTCTGTATTCACAACATGTATGGTCACTTGCTTTGTTAAGCGCCTTGGGGGAACCTTGTTGTGCAAGGTGCTATATAAAAATAAATTGAATTGAATAGATTTGATGTCCAAAATGTTTAGAAATTTCAATCACTGATTAATCTAAACTTCATAATTTAGTGTAACACTTTGTGCAACTCACAGGATGAGGCTCATACAATATATTTTTAAAGTGTGAAAATTTTATAACTTGGACAGTAGCTTAAAATAACACCTTTATCACACAGTACTTTCTTACACAATCATGGTTCGCTACATTTCTATGCTTCACTATTCCAATGGGCTTTACAGCACCTTCACCATGGTAAAGTATATAAACTACTATACTGAAAATGTGGTAAATTATCTTTATAGAATATTAAAAAATCAAGCTCCCTGTTTCTTAGATGTAAAGATCTTACTACAGTATTTGTGTAAACTAATAATTACTTTCTGTGAAGCCACCATAGGCAGGGTCCGGTGAGGGCAGTGCCTTTTCCCTGAAGTATTGCACCTTTAAAGGGGAACTTCAATGTTATTTTTACAAAGGAGTTATAAAGAACTGGCACTGATGAGTGCATTTAAAACCATAATGAAAGTACAAAGTATATGTTAACATGTAGCACCTCCAATTTACATGACAAAATAAATTTCCAGGTATGCATATATGTCATATTCCCATCATCCACAATTCAAAACGAGGCAACAAAACTACTGGTAATGTGAAGCAGTCCTATTACATTGTACACAAGCATACTGTACTTGTGAATACATCTGTTATAATCCAATAGAAATATTACTCTTTATTTGTAAAACCAAATTTAATACACATCTTAATTTAGGTCTTGAACACAATTATGATAAGAACGAATCATTTAAATTGTGAAGACAGATTTTCTTCTATTTTTCTCTCAAGCCACGATATCACCCACTCACTACTTTCTCTTTTCATTGGTCGCTTAATATGGGCAAAAATTGTAGAAATGGCACCTAGTTGGAGCACAAGTTTTGATTCAGAATCTGAAATGAAAATGTATTTTATATAACAAAGTCTAAGGCTTCATTATCATGTAAACTCCAAATCAGAGAAAATTTCAAGACATGTCCTATACCAAGTTTACAATACTCTAAAAAAAACATCTTTTGGAATAAACATATGCTTTAAACCTAGCAAATTTTGCTACTGTATTAACTTAAAAATAATATTATAAAAATGAAGCATACAAGGTGATATATTTAGATACATTATCTACTGATTTAAATGAGTGTTATTAAATTGAACATATAGTTTTGATACGTTTTGGCAACAAATACTACTTATTTGTTAACTCTGCATGTAGATCATGTTGGAACATTTCTGGGGTGAAATGTCTGCTGCACAACCTGTACTTATTCACTCATACTGTACATCTCTCTGAATCTTTTATTATCCATCTCTTGGATAGCTGAATATCCCTTGGAAAAAGAAACAGTTCGACTTTCTGCTGATCCAATCCTCTGTTTTGTGTGCAGCTACTATGTTCTGCGCAGCCAAATGCTCAACAGTGAAGCATTGTTAAAAATATGGACGCCCCATCGAATCAGCTTGTAACTGTCCAACTACTTAAATCTCAGCCATTCTCGACAGCCTCATGAGACCGCTGGTTAAAGATCTTCCCTCATATATCAAAGACACCAACCACGCGCTCCAACTTTTTAATGATTTCCAATTTCAGGGTACCGAATGCTACATTTTTACCATGGACATCACATCTCTGTACACCATCATTCCCCATAATGACAGCCTTACAGCCCTCAAGCACACGCTGAACAAACACACAGTGCTTGATCCACCCACCCACACCCTGGTACGCCTTGCAGAATTGGTCATCACACTGAATGCATTCTCTTTCAATAATCTTTTTTACCAACAGGTCAGTGGAGTTGCCATGGGCACCAGAATGGGACCCAGCTATGCCAATATTTTTGTCGGCTGGGAAGAAGAACGCTTCTTCGCTTCCTACACTGGCTATGTCCCTGACCTCTACAAACGATATATTGATGACTGCGTCGGTGCCGCCACATGCTCCAACGATCAGCTTGAGTTCTTCCTGCACCATTTCACCAACTTCCACCCGTCTCTCAAATATACGGTTAACATATCTTCCACTACTCTTTCATTTCTAGATATCAACTTCTCCATCAACTACCCCCGACTGTCCACTTCAGTTTATTACAAACCCACGGATTCACACAGCTACCTCCTGTACAGCTCATTTCACCCCAACCACACTAAAACTCTCTTCCTTTTTCACAGTTCTTTAGGCTACGACGATTATGCAGCGAGGACATCGACTTCGAGAACCAAGCCCTCGAAATGTACTCCTTTTTCATCAACAGAGGATACCTCAGCAGTGTGACTGACAGGGCCCTTGCCCAAGCCAAAAACACCCCCCGGACCATCAACCCGATCAGAAACTTCCGCCGTAACCACCGCATTCCTTTGGTGCTTCCTTACCACCCTAACACAATTCCTATCCCCAGGACCATTAACCACAACTTTTCCATCCTACAGGATGATCCCTCCATTGGGGCCCTCTTTTCTGATCGCCCTATCATCTCATATCGCCAACCACCTAATCTGCGTAACCTCCTTGTTCACAGCTCCCTTGACCGCCCTCAACAACCATCCACACCAGGCACTTTCCCTTGTAACAGAGCTCGCTGTATCACCTGCAAGTACACATCCACCACCACAATCATTCAAGGCCCCTCAGGACAATTCTGGATCACCCAGACAGCATCTTGTACCTCCAGCAACTTTATTTACTGTATCTCTTGCAGTAAATGCCCAGCCATCTACATTGGAGAAACAGGAAGGAGACTAAGAGACCGCTTCAGAGAACATGTTTGAGCTGTGAAGATTAAAGATTTCTTCAAACCTATTGATTCTCATTTCACCTCTGACGGCCATGATCACACTAATCTCTCCGTCTGTGTTCTCAAAGCTGGTTTTCCTAACTCCAACATCAGAAAGTCTACAGAAACTAAAATTATCCTGCAGCTAGGATCACATGTTTCCCCTTCTCTCAACAACAGATTAATTTTCTTCTAAATTCTCTCTATTCACTTTAGGTTTCATTTCACACCTCTCTTTACCAATTAGTGACTGGTTACATAATGGAATGTAAGCATTTGTGTGGATACAGTCTCCAAAAACCAGACTTTGAGATTAGAATCTTGTGTAAGAGTTAGAGTAGACATAATGTAGCAAGTATCTTTATCCTTCTTCACATTGGTAATGCTTTCTGTATGCTGGAGACCAAAAACCTAAGATTGAGAACTTTCCTTGATGAATATGGTGTGGGAGGGCAGATCCCATATTTTAACAAGGGATATGGGAGCCTATAGTGAGATTTTCTTTACAGACACTAGTCTTGTATGTCTAGCAAATATAAGAATTACAGGAACTAGTCTTAAATGTCTAACAGATATAAGAATTACTGTCAAAGCTTGTCTTTCATCGCTGGTGGATCATGACATATACAGTACATACAGTAATAAATTCAGAATCTTGTCTCAGATTAAATTGTTGAAGTTTCTGCTTAGAAACTAGAGGTACTTACAGTTATGCATACGTTGGAAACTAAATGTGTTCTACTCTTTGAATTTTACTGCTGTGATTCTTGTATTTTGCTTATAGCACACTTTTTTGTTATGCTAAATTGTATGCCAAAAGGCACACAATTGTGTGGTCTGTGATGGGGCATATATGGACACTCATGGTCTCTGATGTACACAATAGCAAGTGGCATGAAGTATGAAAAATTAATTGGTGACATGAAATAAGTGAGCAGAAACTATAGCAGTTAATAGCAGAAATGTAGATTACCCTCATTTTCATTTTTATTTTTAGTATATAACTGCATAGTCCCATACCATTTTCATTTGTGCATCCATGTGCCAGTATGGAAATCATTAGAACTAGGAAGTCATTTTCAACTAAGCTTTTATATCTTTGCAATATTACAGTATATAATATATTCTAAGGGGTAGCACTGAGGTTAGCATTACTATGTCACAGCACTGGGGCCCTGGGTTCAATTCCTGAGATGCTTTTGGAATGGGATTTGTATGTTCTTCCCATGTTCATGTGGATTTCCTCCAGGTGCTCCAGTTTCCTGCCACAGTCTAAAGACATACCAATAGGCATATATGGACACTCATGGTCTCTGATGTACACAACAGCAAGTGGCATGAAGTATGAAAAATTAATTGATGACATGAAATAAGTGTGAGACTCGGAGACCGCTTCAGAGAACACGTCACGTCAGGGCTGTGAAGATTAAAGATCTCTCCAGGCCCACTGTTTCTCATTTCACCTCTGACGACCACGACCACTCTAATCTCTCCGTCTGTGTTCTCAAAGACGGTTTTCTGAACTCATACATCAGAAAGACCACCGAAACCAAAATTATTCAGCAGCTAGGATCACACATTCTCCCTTCTCTTAACGACAGACTACTGTTCATTTAAGTTTTCTCCATTCATTGGAAGTTTCATTTCACACCTCTCTGCACCCATTCTGACTTCACACCTCTTGATTGGCCTCTCTTTCTGTCCCCTGCTCCTGCCTCTCACTCCTCCTCCCTCCCAACCTTTGTTCTCCCGCTACTTTACCTTTGCCTACTGCTCTGTCTCCCTCACACCTGAAGTAGGCTCCACGGCCAAAACGTTGTGTTCTCTTTCTTCTTTTTTTTTCAGCATGGAATAAACCTATTAATTGTTAAAATATACTGTATATGTGAGTTAAGAAAGCCAAAAGGGTATTAATTTTGTTTGAAGACCAAGTTTCCCTTTTAACTTACAGGGACTAGAGAGCAGAAAAGACTACTTTCTGTCCCAATTTGCATGAACTCTAGCTCTCACCCACGGTAAGACAAGCAGTTTGCAACATCATGATGAATGTACAATACTTTCACAGAGTTCCCAATTTTGTGCCAACTTCAAACTGCAGTTCCCCTTTCACTTACTTATGGGAAGCTGACAGGAGCTTGTAGTTTAGTTGTAGTTTAATTAAAGCAGGTGATCCAATTAAGACCAGGTGTTTGTACTTCTAATGGATATAAGCTCAGGAGAAGAGACAGACACGGACAGTAGCTGCTAGAGAATGTGCCAGAGAGAATAAAAAGGGGAAGAAGAAGAAATCTGAATCAGAGTGGGGGAAGAGAGAGTAATGTTTGCAGGGGGAAGAACACTGAAGGAGAAAATTGTGAGTAAGACACATTGGTCAATTGAAAGGAAAGTACAAACTCTTATGTGCTTAAAAAAGGAGCATTTGAGTGAGGGGTTGTAGTGGAGATGCAAATGCAGTATATTAGGGTGGAAATTATATCTCAGATTTTACACATGATGATAACCATTTTAAACATACTCTTCTCTAACCAGAACACCGTAGCTTCCTTCTCAATGACTACAGATACTTATTTAACCCTGTTACCAATTGTCCCCAGCGGCAACCACTACATTTCACTATTAATTACTTCATTTACAAAATGAAATGTATGGAAAATAAACTCATTTATATAATGTTCTTCCATTTCAGTAAGCCTTTAAATGGGAGCTCTACAGGGGTAGTTTCTGTGTCAGTGTCTAAAAGCACACACATCTTAAACCTTTAAGATAACTTTTCAGGTGGATGAAGATGATCTTTGTCAGAAAACAAACCCACCCAGGCACTTGACTACTTTCAGGAGGTACAATGCTACATATTTCTCTGAATCCTCAAACAATATTCAAAATTTTAGATTTGCAGACCAGAAAGGATGACTCTTATGCTGAAAAACATAAACTGGAAATTTGAATGATGTAAAGATGGAATGAAAGGAAAATTTAAAGGAAGGCTTATTCTGCTATAGATAGCATAATGCTCCAGCTTTTATACTCAATGCCATTAAACTAAAATAATAAAGCACAAATGACCAATTTGATACTCATCCTATTACTTTAAAGCAGTTGGACAAACTAAGGACGTATTGAAAACAATAAATGAAATATTTCACAAATAGTGTAGGTTCACATTATTTTTTCCCTTAAAAGCGAAATTTCTGAAATAGTACGCAGTGTATTACATTTGATAATGTATTCTAATTATTTCCTTTTGTAAACTACCCAAATACAAAGAAGACTGAAAACCTGAATGTCAATGTCAATCTTTCATCTGTTCATCATTCTGTCCTTAATGCCTCTCCATTAACGCTTTTTATAGAAATCTTGATAGCAAAACATTATTTTCTTATTCTTATTTAAGAAGCATCAAAAGCATTACTTTTAACTATATCAGTGTGGGCTGGCACAGGACACAGTCTCCATATTTGTGAGCAATCCCTTTTGGAACGAGAAGGTTTAAATACCTCCAATCAGCCCTGGATCAGCTGGCTAAACCTGTTCCACAGCAATGCACTTTGATCCCACTGACAATGACCTACAGTACTACACATTATGAATGCAGGATGTCATTCCTCCTTCACCATTTGCTCTGTTAAGCAAGGAGCCTCTTTCCCTCACCAGGTGTGCCTCATTTTTAGTTTTCTCATGAATGGGTGACTTTTCCTCAAAGCCACCTCTGTCTCACAACCCCCTTACAACTCTCTCATCATTGGGATCTTTTCTCTTTGACGGATAGCCCTTTTGTATCTTAGGGCATTTTTAGTTGTATCATTAAGCACTTGTAAACAGTGCCACAACCTCTACTGTTATTGTAGTTACATATTATTGATTGCTCTGTCTATGTGCATCTGGAACAATGGTATAAAGTCTCTTGGCAAGGATGCAATTGTCAACTGACTTATCTGGTTAAATAAAGAATTATTACTGTGCACCAGTTAAGTGTACTGTACCTACCCTTGATTAAAAAAGTTTCTTCCTCTTCCAATTTAAGTATTTCTGCCTTGGTTCTGGATTCCATAATTGCTTCTCTGTCTGTCAGTAGACTGTAATCATCATTGAAAGCCATGATCTCTTTCATAAATTTCTCCTGCTCTTCTGAGCATTTTTGTCGTATTTCCCCCTGCATTTTACAGGGTCAAGACAGAATTGTGAACAAATGTTAAAAATAATAAATTCTATTTATTATTTTAAATTTGGCACCAAGATTTACACAACTCTGAACAATTTGAGAAAGCACACATTTTACACAAAGCACAAATAAAGAGGTTAGAAAACAAAATAATACTAAATTATTTCTTGTTTGCACAATTAAAAGAATGGATGTACTGTATCTGATTTCTTCATTACAATTTGGAAAAAAAATGAATATGACATTCCTCCTGGCTAAACGCGGTGAAATCAAGCAAGGCATTATATCTGTCTTGTACATGCATCAGCACTGTACAAGGCCTCCCCACTGCGCTTCAGAGCTTTATGTAATAATAATTTGCTTCCATTTATGCACGTTATAATTACAGAGAATCACACTAAACACATACAGTACAGTATGAGGTGGCAAGTCAGTAAACAATAGAAAGTACAGTTCTTAAAGCTTTCTTTAGATAGTAAAGAAATAGTTCTACAGTATGTGCTAATAGATATCCACAACATGCAAAGCATGCTAATAGATATGAACAACATGTAAAACACACAATAAATAATCTTACCAGGGATTCTATGAGATTGTGCTTTTGTTTTGAAAGGTCAGCTTTCTGCTTTTCAGTTGCTTCTTTGTGCATCCTTAATAGGCCACACTGCAAAGCAGTTTCAGACAGAATCCGGGTCTGTAAGACAATTTAGAAAAGGATGTTTCTAGGGTTGAAATTTGCATAACCATTTTTACCATAAATCTCTGATTACTTAGTCATTTCATTTTCTGAGTTGTTTTGTAGAAGTAAATGCTTTCATAACATTGTAGGGGTTTGGGTGTTTTAGTTTCTTGTAACAATCAGAAATTGTAATGGTAAATTGCGAGAGAATTTGATGACTTCTAGGAATCAATCAAACATAACTTACAGTCTCACCCAGGGATTCTAAATATACAATATACAACCAAACCAAAATATACATAAAAAACAACACCGTAATAGAATATAAATATATTTGTGAAACAATCAACTGTGAACATGAATGTCTCATCGTTCACATCAGGGATTGATCCTGATGTAATCATTCAGGGATTACAAAGATCAGAGTTAATAACTTCAGAGTAAAGATACTCATCGACTACAGTATATTGAGTTGCAGTCTGTTGTAGACTATCAGTCTAAACATCAAACATGTGTGGCAATAATAATTCAACTCTCGAGAATTAATATGTGAATGATGAAATAAAGTTTTGATGATTGGTTGAGATTCCATTAGGTTTGGTTCTGGTATCCACCCTACAGATCCCTAATTTGTGGATCTTCCTTTGGGTGATGGATAGTGACCTTTGACCTGTGGTTTTTGGGAACCAACCTCAAGACTGGCTGGAGCCTATCTGTGCTATGTATCATTAAATGTACAGCATGATACAGCTTTACGATGTCTTTTATCAGAGGTGCCTTAAGCCACCTTTCTCTGCATTTAGGGACAGGCACCAAGCTGCTTTTTTCAAAGCACAGAAAGATTATTAGAAATCTTAAATAATACTTAATTCCTAGTGTAATAATAAACCTTGTCCCTACAATATTTTCCACAGACATTTTGATGGTGGAAAACAGGGCATGTTCCCATTGCACTGATTACTGGAAAACTCTTCCGATCCTTCAACCTTCTGAATTCAAACTTATCATACTGTACCTACCCATTTGTCTCTGTCACCAACTACACATAAACTTAATTTGATTAGTAACTCTCACTTTTATCGTCTTTTAAACATATTTAAAGCTTGACGCAAGATGCAGATAAAAATCATTGCAAACATCTGTTAGCAAAATGGAAAATTAGAAAATATCTCTACAATGAAAGCAGATGGCAAGAACTGTATAGAAGTGAAAATTGTTTATTTTGACAGTTCACATTTTCTAGGTCATTCAGTAATTACTACTATATTGGCATTTAGATTCTGAATATTTCACCTTTTTTCAACAAGCTTTTTAAAACTGTCCATTCAGCCGTGAAAGGCAAATGTTATCATTCAGCTTCTAATTACATGCTACCTGCCTTCACAGAACACAAGTAAATTAATATTTGCTAGATGTTTTCTTATGACCCCCAAGCAATCTCTACGAAGTAGCTGTCATAAATATTGCATTCAGGACTCATGTTGAGCGTGAACTTGAAAGTAATAACCATTTCATTTGGCATGTGTTTCTAGCATTAATTTCCTCTGATCTTTTATGCCAAAATAGTTTTTTTTTTTTTTTTTTCATATAAGCTGCCTAGCCAACCAAAAGTGGATTAACATACAATTTTTAATAGTCAAAAGGAAATGGGGTGGCTCAGGCTACATGGCAGAAATGACAAGCATCAGACTACAGTTTATACAATGGCTTTTCTCATTAGAAACACACATTACTGCTACCTGATGGGACACTGCAGTGAATTATGCAAGGAGCATGAATCAAAATGCACAAAGTCACAAGTATATAGTATTCATATAAAAGCCTACAACTGTCAGTAATTACCCAGGACTACATTATGTTGGCCTTGTTTTAAAGAAAACAGAATCTCTCACTGAAAATACACTGTAGTTTCATAATATAACTGTAAATATATAACGTCAGAACACAGAATTGGATCATCTTTTCAACAAGTATTCTGAATTTGTAGCAGAGTTATTGTCATAATACCAATACAGCAAGTTTAAAACTGAAAACATTGGTTGCCCCCAGCACCTCTTATTACAAATTAAGCACTGCATTTCCTTCTTCAACAGCTTTAGTACATTGTACTTTCACTCTAATTTCAACAAATTGTAAAATAAAATGTTAATTAAGAAGACAAATTTTAAAAATTATGACATATTATGACTATAATTTTATTTATGTGTCTTTAAGCTAAAAGATAATATATTAAAACTAAAGTGACTGTCAGCTGACATTATATTTGGTATTCATACAAATGCGACCAATTATTATTAGCATTTGTACAGTAATTATTTTTCTGACAAAGCTGGCATTCATGTAAATGAAAGCACTTTTGATTTCTGCCATATATTGCCTAAGAAGAAGGTTAATCTAGCCTTCTCATATATATTAGCCTCTGTTTAAAAGGTTTACAATTGCAGCTTGAGATTGATCTTTTTTGAAGAGCTCTTGTCAATAAACAAGTCATCATTAAAAAGTGCTGAAGATTATCAATATTTCAATGGTTTTAATAACGATATGTGAAAGAGATTACAATCTCTGCAATATAAAGAACAGGGTCACTTAACTGAAGTTTACAAGTGTTCTGTCACAGGGAACATTACAGCTAAACGGTTAGAGATTCTGGTAATTTCATCAAATTATACCATACTTTGATGTCTTCCTGACTGAACAAATTTCAACTAACACAGCAGAAATTAAAATAGTGGATGAAATGAGTTCTCCTGCACAATTTGCTGCAAATAAAAAAGAGGCAGAATCATTGCACATTTGACACTCTGTTTTGTGTTTTATGAATTATATTTTGGATTGATAAAAATGAAATGTGATTTAAGATAAATTTCATTCAGACTTCAAATCTGAATGTCACCACATCTACACATCTATAACTTCCTCATCAGTGACTTGAATCCATTTTTAAACAGCTGAATGTTACTCAGGGTTGAAAGTTCGTAATCCAAAGATAAGAGTGAAAAAACACCAATTCTATCACTGTCACTATGTGCATTGTCTTCCAATTACTACAGAAAAACAAACATTCATTACACAAGTAACATAGTTGATACACTGTACCATTTTTAAAAACACAAAAAAATAAGAATGCATACCAATTAATTGTTACAGCTACTACGGCTTCATTCCAATTGCTCGCATTTACTTCCTAGGAAACTTCACAATTTTAGCTTACCTTTTCTTCCACTTTCATTTTTGCACACTCTAGTTCTTCCATTAAAGTCTTGTGTTTTTCTTGATACCAGTCAATTTCCGCTTTAACTGAAAAAAAAACAACAGATCGGTTAATAAAAACTCCACAGCACCAATAAAACACTCAATATAACTGTAAATAATGAGACCTGCAGGTTTTACAGATAGCCCTACACACAATGAAAGATTTATCAGAACCTTGAGAAAAATAATAAAATTGACCTCATTTAATATCAGAGGGTGATGAAATTTCACTGTTGATTGATGTACTGGATTATATATTGATTTGTCCTCATCTTTAAACAATGTTCATAAACGCTGAAGTTTATGGTTTTAGATCTGTAACAAATTAATGATTAATTAAACATTTTCATGCACGGTAAATCTATTCAGCAAAGCATTTTCTTTTAAATATAAATCATACTTAATGTTAATCTGGGAAGTATAACAGAATTAAAATTATGTGTAATTGACCTTCTAGCTGGAAGCGACCTTCTTACTTGTCAAATGAATATGGAAGACTCTTCCATGAAGTTTTTTTTAATTATTAGGTTTACAGTAGATTAAGACTAAAACAATTTTTTGTGTTTTTTGCCATTTGCTGCTCAAGCTTCAGGTTGATGTCTGCACTCAACTCGTCTGCAGGTGCTTGTTTGTTTTCCCTTGAGTTTAACGCACAGATATCTCCAATCCCCAATCATGAAGTATGTTGATCATTGTTGATGAGGTCTTTCCCTGGGAGTTTACCGCTGACATTAGACTTTAGATATCACTGCTCGTCAAACAGCAGCATGTGGAGCAGTCTTGGACACTGAAGCTCCTGCCAAACACACAACAAACAATCTACTCTCTTTCTATGAGGTCTCTTCTTGCCTAATGCCTAATTACCAACCAGGCCTGTCCAGCACTTTCATGCATGAGCCTAGGTATGCTGGGAAGTTATTTGCTTTATTTACTGTAATTCATGACCACACTTGTCATAGCCCTCACAGGCAACACATTTGGTCGCCCTCATTTACCCAGTGTAACAAACAGTTCTTTCCGGACCCTATGCGGACGACACAATCCAAAGAAGTGGGGAAACACTGGGAAAACGTCATGCAGGAATACGGGGCTGAAAACAGGGGGGCGTGTCCAAAGTGCGCTGGTGCATGGGGGAGGTGTGGCCGAGACAAACAATCCAAAAGAGTAATCCATAGAGGGTATCCAAAAACACAAGAGAAAGTCCATAGCCAGGAGATCCATCCAAACAGGCAATTAAAACCATGAACCGGACCGGGACCGGGCGCTTCCAGGTCCCGGACTCGCACGGTGCGGAAACCAGATGCAGAGCCAGGATGAGCGTCAGCGCCTGGCTTTTAAGGTGGGCTGGGAAAAAGGGATCAGGTGCACAGAATGAAGTCTAAAGTGAAAGGGCTGGAGCACCCTTAAGGAGGGGGGACTATAATTGTGACACCCAGGTGTTGCAGTTTATTTGGTCCAATATCTGTACATTGTCATTTCCTGTGATTCTAAAATTTACCACAGTAATTACAACACAAGATCTCTATTTTTAAGACGTTAAGCAAACGCCTTAGAGCCATTCTCACCCCTCTCTTTTGTTTTCTGTGCCCCACCTCTTTCCCTCAAATCTGTGTTCTCCGTCTCTCTGTACATTTAACAGTTATACAGCAGAAATCGTACATGCTACAATCTCTCAATGGAATCTGGAACCTCTTTAACACATAAAACAGACTTTTGATTTACAAATATAAAAAATATGAAAACTCCTAATTATTTTGTTCAGTGCAGCCCCATTCAGTCAACTTCTGTGTTAACTTTAATCCAGTATGGAACTCAAGAGAACTGCCTTGTTATGTTTTTTTTTAGAGTCTGCTTTCTGAATAACCTTTGAATTAAACTCCAATTGTTCTCCACATTGCTATGATGACTTTAGACTGTCATTGTTATATTCGACTTTGAACCTGGTATGCCACAGTGAAAGAAAAAGTTTCACTGTGTTAACTGAATCCGTTGCTGTTCTCAACAGCTTCCACTGTAGTTCAGATGGTTCTATGAAACTGCAATGCCTTAGTGCAAGCATCCCTGCTGGGAAATAATATTATAAATTACAGTAGCTGGGTTATTAGTGTAACAATTGTGGTCCCGCTGGTAATAATAGATTAAGCCAGCATAATAGGTGGGCTTTATTTTTGTCTCCCACATGTGACCTGTCAATGGTATTTGCTATTATTTTTTTTTCCAATCCCACACAAAACAATGGTTTAAAAGAGACTGCAGGAACAGTAGCCAATGTACCAGAATTAAAACGCATTGTTTCACTCATTTTGGACAACTGAGGAAATAGGACTACTGTACTACATCAATGTCAAAGGTGATGCAGGAATTTATAAAGTTTTGGCCTTATATTGAAATATGTAAAACAAATCATCAATAGGAAATTGGTGCATCATACAAGTTATCTATTATAAATTTATATCTTACAAATGAAATGTTAACTAATGCAAGATACTGTATGCTGATATGCTACAATACCAATAGCTGTCAGGCAACCCAGCAAAGTGCTGCAGTGTCTCAAGGCCTACAGTATGTCAGAACTGTTTTGGCAGTATTATAAGGAAAGGTTCGTTAAACTGGCAGTGCTGAATATGGAAGAACGGTCTGAGGAAAGAAACCCCAAACTATCTGCGTGACAGACGGTAATCTGTTAGATATTAACCAGGTTTCAGGTACATTTTGTAAATAATCTTTCAATACAACAATATACAGTACAGTACATATACCTGCCTTTTCCTTTGTTTCAATAATGTATCATTTAAGAAGTTCGTTTTAGAACAAATACTGTATAAACCTAATTAATTTACAAACTTAAACAGGATCAGACGGCACTTCAAGACCAGTATTAGTAGCACAACGGGTATTACGATATACAGTAAGTGAATTGTATACAGTATGTACTTGCAAAGTTATAAATTACCATATTAAATAATGGTTTATATAGTTTTTACAATCCTAAGTGATGGTGTAGGGCTAATGTCAGAAGTAACATTATCGCGTGTTTAGTCTCGATGGATTGTAATAATGTCATCTTTATCGATTTCTCAAGCGTTTATATCTCTTTAATGATGTGGCATACAGTAACTGTTTTGTTCGACCACAATAGTTTTCCTGTAATGTTAAGGACTACTCCTGGGAAAGATGTCTATTTCTCTGAGACTGCATTACAGTACTATGCAGATAGAGCAACAATAACTTCAGTGGTTTCGCAGCAAATTTAACTATTCAAAAGTATATCGTGGGTCTTCTAAAACATTCCAGTTATACTATCAATTTGTCCTGTAGGTTAGAAGAAAAAAATATAACGCCCCATCCAACAACAATCCCCCCATTCTGTTTGCGACATAAACCAGGCTCTTCAGTTTTTTCAAAACGAAGAACACGTTTTGTGCTCATAATATTTACACCAAATAAAATACGAAGTTTTTTTTTCTCCACTCAGTCGAATATGACGATATTTTTTTTAATTACCTTCCAGTAAACGACGTCTTTTCTCTTCAGCCTCTTGTTCTGAAAGTAAAATGTGGTGAAACAACGAGTCCAGACTCATATTGCAAGTTAATTCAAACGTCTGGAAAAGTTCGAGAAAAACAGCGGTTCGTTACAGAAGAATATGAATTCTTCTATTTGCGGAGGTAATGCACGAGTGACCACAGAACACCCCTTAGGTCCCGTGATAGACTCTTCTAAAAGAAGTGTAATGATGCTGAGATTGCTTTATAGTATATACAGTACAGTAGCAACGTAAATCCACTTAATTTTTATATAATTTATATGGTAACGAGTATTTGTAATTGTTTATTCCTTAAAAGGTCGGTGTCATTTTCTGACAGTCGATGGTTGTAGCGTTTTGGTTTGTTAGGTTTTTTCAGCGGTAGCTTATTGGGCTTCTATTTTAATAGGATTTCAACAGGATGTTGCTTTTAGAAAATGATTTAAAGAGTGATTGCTGTGGTTGAGTTGGGCTCTTTTACAGTTTTATATGAGATTTTACTAATACGCACGGACAAATGTGTTAGTTTAAGACTTATTTTGCTGTAACTTCTTTTGCTGTACTCTTCCACTTTTAAATTTAAATCAGTGACGGATTTCTTTGCCATAATTTAAGTTGATCGCTGCTTGCATTTCAGAGTGACTGCCGGACGCTATTCGTTCTATCATGAATTATCATTCAGGAGAAAATGGTTAAATAATATATTTCACGTTTATATTTTTTTCTTACACTGTTTATATAAATATGCTGGGTGTTTATAAACAATATGGCTCAAAATGTATTTCCCTTTCCCGCTGATTTCCGGGCACCTAACAGTGGAAAGGAAGATTAATTGAGGGGTCATGGTTGGGTCCTTACTGGACCAGCTTTTTAACTTTTTAAGATCTTAGTAAAACGTATACCTTAATGCAATTATTTTTGCTATTCTGAAATTGTCTATACAAACTCTAGCCACCTTTTGTCTTTTATTTAGTGTTTTATTGGTGGATTATGGAATATTTTGCTTCCAAAGTCTGAATTGTTTTTATCGTTTTTATCATTTATAAATTGCATGAAACAGATTGCCAGGGAAGGAGTCATAATAGAAAATATAGCTAGACTTTAAAGACTAGGATTTTAAGGCATCAGATTTCAATTTTTGTTTTGTCAATCGCAAGAAATATTCAATTTGTCTCCTCATGCTCCCCACTATGGACTCGCTATCAAACCAAAACTGCTCTTCTGCTTCTGCTAGCCCAGAGCACTAACAAAAGATTTACCTTGTCAAACCCCATGCCAGTTTAAACTAGTTACAATGGCAGAAAAAGAGAATGCTGTCTGGGACTGGAGTTGTGGTGTTATCCTGGCATCACAGGTGAAGTTCCTGCAAGTCTGAAACATAGTCACCAGATACAGGGCATTCATACTGTATACCACATCACCAAAGCTGCCAAGTGTCACTTGGAAATAGTGGAACCATTAGTATACAGTATATAGGTCTGTCCTAAAGTATATATTATATTCAGTTGTGGGTTCAGGTCCCCAAAACAAACACTGCTGCTGTATCTTGAGTAATATGCCTTACGCCAGTTACTCCAGGCCACCCAGCTGTATAAGGTGGGGACCAGCATTTTAGCGTGGTAATTACTGAAATGGTCCAGCTTCATCCAGGGGGAGAGTCACATGCTCTCTAACCCGCTTAATGCTGTGACAACACAAAACAGGTTAAGATCTGGCCTGATGAGGTCAAGTGTTTAAAATAGGTAGAAGTAATAATAAAATTTTACAATAAGGAAGTAATAATGCAGGAGAGTGTAAGATGTTGCATGCAAAAACAAAACAACAAACATGAAGCTGTATTATCTGTACTTATACCTTCCAATTATATTAATTACTTTTTCAAATGGAAAAACAGTATTGCTACTGTAAATGTTTTTCTCTTTGTTGAACAAGCTATTGTGTAATGAGCTATTTACACCCAAACACCACAGGTAGGAGCCCTGCACAACACACATCCTGTCCTGCTTAATTTCCCTACTGATACACACCAAACCTGTAATTAAAACACCAAAAAAACACCTTAATGACATTAATGGTAAGTGCTGAAAAAATAACCCACGTGCAAACAAAGGTGTGTACTAAGTACTGCATTCTTCTTAAAGTACTGATTAAAATGTCCTTCCAATAGGATTTCTGAAGAGCCTCTGAAAAGCAAACACTAAAGGATATTTTAAATATTGATTTCTGGTGTGTTGTTGTTATAAGTTAGGTTTGTTATTAGAAAAAATGTATGTGCAGTATCCATTCATCAATTGTTTGGCAAGTACTGTATACAGTATCTGCCTCCCTAAGACAAAGACAATAGTTGTTACACTTTTCTAAATGAGCAAAAAGAATAGTATAAAATCACCAACATTCGAAAGCATTTTAGATCTCCAGTTTATCACAGCTGCCTTTAAGTGAGCTATTAGAGCTGCCAGCAAAAGTATTGTTTGATGTTTGTAAGCATAGTCAGCAATCAATAACTTTAATTCTATGCCATTTGGCCCTTTAAGATTTGTCACATCATTCTTTACTTTATTCAATTTCCCCGCCGCAGTGGAAAGAATGGTTTTGAACCAGTGCCATGAAGCACATTAAAGTGTGAATGGGAACTCATTTATATAGCAAAGACTATATCATTTTGACATTCATTTGGAAAATTAATAGTAAATATTGATTGAAGCTTTACATAAAACCCAGATTTATGCTGTACACCTTTATAGTGAGGTTAGCAATTTTGTTCCTTTGCAAAAATGTGCAGAGTCATCATATTGCATTTATGTAAAATTAATGCATTCTTTTTAAATGCAATTCTCACCCTTGACCCTAAGCCTGATGAAAACTGTTCTAGTAGTCCAATCATCATTTGTAGTCTACTGTACAGTATGTGCAAGAGCTTATTGAGTATGTAAGTTCTTTCATACCTCAACATCACACTACTGTAAGAACATAATTGAAGGGTCACAAAGATTGAAAATGACTTTCTTTTAAAAACATATTGCTGTTAAGAAAGATGAGTTTTAATAAAAACTTTAATTTGGGATTGTGGACTTCACAAAGAATGGCTTCCAGCCTTCAGTTTTGAAACTTAACAAGTGGATACACTTGTATTTGTGTAATATTATAAACATGGTATGTTTAAAATGTCCTTAAACATTTTGCAGATGTTTATACCATATCATTAAATTGGTGGAAACTGAAAAACAAAAAGCATAGTAAATCACTGAATAACATAACTTAAATATTTTGTCCTAGGAACAGAGGTTAACTGCTGCCTGGTACATACAATGTATAACTGAAAAGATAAGATGTAGTGTGTTGTGTACAAGGTTTAAATGATTAAAAAATAAGGAGGCAACAGATAAAAGTGCTTCTTTAATTTTTTTAAGAAATGTAACTTGAGTGCTTGTAGTCAACGAAAAGTCAATCTTCAGTCAATTATTTGTAACCTGCAAATCAATCTGCTCTAAAAACGATATACCGTACAGTATAACTATACAGTATATAACTAGGGAAGCAGAGGTTAATCCACTAATCCAAGACTGAATTCTCAAATGACAAGGCACTATTAAAATGTATCAATATTTAGGTGATCTACTGTACATTTGTGAGGGAATGCAGAATTTTAATTCAATAAAAAAAATCCATGCTCAATCATGTACGGTTATCTTGTGCTTGTTGGTTTATAATTAAATGTGTCTACTTGTAGGTTTACATTTGATTCATCTTAATACAATGAACTCTTTACTTCCCATTCTTCACAGCATCTATGCAAGTTATGAGTTATGGAGGTGGCCAGAATGCACTATTGAAGGCTCTGTATGTCAGTGGGATTTGATAACACTGTTTTGTCACAGAAGTGCTGCATTTCAATTCATGTCTAGCACATCCTGGCACATCAGTTGTAGTGATTAGACTTTAAAAGCATGGGTTATGCAGTGTCAAACACAAGATCTAAATCTTTACTAAAGAAACAGATTTTGCTGTATGTGTAGTTAAAACTGTGTCTTATATTTACATAACACAAATTAGATGTGTTAGTTTTTATTTTATTTTTCAGAAAGCTCTAAAAGTCAAAAGTAATTTAGGGCATAAGCCCCAAAATACAGTCAGCATATTGTAATATTATAGCTGCCTCACAGCTCTTGGGTCCAGTGTTGCATTGCTGTTTGGACACCTTATGTGTGGAGTTTGTATGGTCTTCCTGTTTTCACATTGGTTTCCTCCAGGTGCTTCAGTTTCCTCCCGCATTCCAAAGATGTGCTGTTTCAGCATATTGCGGTGTCTGAATTATCCATGTCTTTGTAAGTGGGTGTCCTTCAATGGACTGCTATCCCATTCAGGGTGTATTCTTACCTTGTGCTTATTCAGACTTGTTCAGTTTTAGCTTTTAACATCATTTTGTACCCGGAAGATAGCAAACAGTGATACTGTGTTGGACCCTTTGTAAAGATATAGTTGTGCACCTCAAGATTTGTATAAGGTACTGTATAAGGTACAGTACCAAAGATATAATAAAATACAATTGATGTTTAAAACTGCAGCTACCTACAAGAAATGGTTTACTGTAGAATAAGATTTACTGAACTTCTCATCCCCCAGTGCTGCACCTCCTAAAAGTGATCATCATAAGCAACAATCGATAAACTTGGTTATCTCTGGGAGAATTTCAACAAGACTTCAGGGCCAGGAGAAAAGCTGTAATGAGAGGGATCTCTGTAGTGAAAAGGCAAGTCACTCTGTGAAAAAAAACCTTACAGTAGGAACAGAGAGGTATTGAAGCTTCTGAATAAAGCTGCCAACCCTTCAAAGATTGTTATCCTGGAGGTCTCAATAAAAATGTTATTTTTTAGCGAGAAAGTACACCCTCCCCCAAACAAAAACCATGGACCCATGTAACTGATTTTCAGCCATGGGGAGCTCCATTCAATTTTGGAATCCAGCAGGTTTGTGGTAGAGACTGTTCCTGCTGTTGTGTCCCCATTGCACATTGGCAGTAACCTCGAAATTAGCAAAAGAACAGCTCTTGAGAATGTTATTTTAATAGTCACATGTGCTCTTCTTTGTCTTTGAGGTTTAACAATTCAGATGGCTATTCTGAATGCAGTAATTGATTTGTTTCTGTTCTTTTACCTTATCATTTTATACACTAATGGTCAACAAGATGTTCAGGTAAAGGGTGTGTAAAGAAAATGATTCCAACTGCTCAAACCAATTTTAAGATCAAGAACTGTCTGTCACGCACCTAAATGATCAAAATTGACTGCTCTCTCCCTTGTCCTTTGCAAATATAAAAAATAAATTTCATCCTTCATGACGAGTGGCCAAATATAAGACCAGAAATGCTTATTTAAGATATATCAAATGTTCTCTAATTACCAATATAATGTTGTAATATTTTATATTTTAAACGATTAATATTCTATCTTTTACATTCTGAATTCAAAACATTGTTTGCAAATTGTATTACCTGATAAGAAAAGTGTACAGTACAGTTTACAGTAGACTGACAGTGAAGATTTCCCACATCTGTAGGTTATTTTTTAGTTGCATTATTAGCTTTAAAATGTATGTAAAAAAATGGCAAAATTCTTAAATTCAAAGCCTAAACTCAAATAGGCTATTCAGAAATTCGTCGTTGCTAAAGGTCTTTCTTTTGAGCAGAAACCGATTGTAGCCGGTTTCGTAATGTACATATTTACAACAGTTAGAATAGCTCTTCGCCTTGTAAATACAGTAGTATATTTTTGTCTTCCTGTTCTTAGAATTTTCTGTTTATCTCGAGCTCGTGCTAGACTGATATGACTGCAATGTATCAGTGGGTATCGCAGCGTTTTATGAGATAATGCTGAAATGCCTTTGGAAACAGCCAGGCGGCTCCATTGGTCCATGTTTCTTCTCTTGGTGTTATTAGTCTTTCAGACATAGCCTTCCTCAGCTCAGGTAAACACAACGGGGAAACCAAATTAGGTACAGTAGGTTCTCACGGTTTCAGTTTGTAATCACCTTTTATTGTGTCTTTTATGAATACGAGCTTATCGAGTACATTATGTGTGACTGCCTTTGAACGTTTGAATTAGCGATAGAGAATTGTAGTCTGCAATTTAAAACTATATTATTCACTTTGTTTATTTTGCTACATTAAATATCTCGTTTAAAGGGATAGATGTGTCCTTCATACTGTAACTCCACTGTTACCTGTGAAAGGGCAAGAAACTAGGGTTTAACGTTCCGTTACCACAAGATTTGTACTGTATAAATGTACTGTATACATTCTGTACTATAGTCTTCATTGAACTTTCCTGTCCTTTTTAAACTGGACTTTTTCTTACTATATTTTTTTCTTTATTTTGCTTTGTGTGTTATGCACCAAAGCCTGAATTTAATGCGAAGGTGAGCACTGGAACTTAAAGGTTTTTGTTCTCGTAAATCGAGTCCTGCTCTCAGAATTATTTTATCTAAAAGGTGTGCACTACGTTTTTGAAGGCTATATAGTTAATGTAACCCATAATCAGATCATAGTGATTTATGCGTAAATAAACCAAGCGATGCAGGTTTATGCATTAAATCTGGTTAAATCTGCCAGGGCAGGTTATGATTTTAAAAACAGAAATATTCGGCATGGTAATTACCAGCTAGCTGTCTTTTCCTCAAAAACTTGAATTTTGCGTTCATTGTTGTTATCAGATACTGAATGTTTTCTATAGTTTATCAATGCTTGTCAAATCTGTCATTAACTTTTCATTAAGTGGAGATCTAGTGGGTCACAGTGGTCACACAGCTTGTGTCCTAGGATTTATTCCGGATTCCTTTGTGTTTCCTAACCCTTTCCCAGGACATGATAGATTAACTGGTGTCTCTGAATTGTCCATATGTGGGTGCCCTACGCTGGACAGGTCTTCCGTCCAAGGTGAGCCCAGCAACGCACCTCTTCGACATTTTGAGACGGGCACTTTTGAGTCGCTTCAGCCTGCTAAGGCTCGCGGCATGCTCAGAAAAATCAACTTTGCGTTATGGATAATTAGAATCATAATAGCATGATGATGAAAGGATACGAAAGCAGGCTACACATTGTGCAAAAGGGACTTCAAATCGTTGTATGTGGTCGTTATCGAGGTGATTAGCAATGCTTAACATTGAATACACGAATATGTAATGTACCCGTACGTCGACCAATGGATCTGTCGAGCCGGTTGGGGCATATTACTGTATTTGCAAGATATTCAAACGAGCGCTTACTGTAGGTAATACTGTATGCCACACTTCATGCCATCTTTTAGACATGATATACAAGTTAGCTGTGATAATCATTAGCATTAACATAATATATAGCAAGCTTTAAATGAGCAATTATGAGATGTCATCGTTTGGAGACAGAATACGGCTTGGAGCAAAACGGGCGAACACAATTGCGCAGACTAACAAGTGCAGTAGCTTGTTTCTTTAGGGTCAGACTGGTGACTGAAATCCATTTGCAATTCTGTAACGCTTTTAGTTCAGGCATGGTACTACTTTGAATTACCAACTTTACATAGCTTCAGATTTTCTTGCTAGTTTTATGTGTAAAACACTGAAGTGCGCTGACTGCGTATAATGCACCACCATGTACTGTATGGTTTTCTGACAGATCACAGTCCGCGTATGTCAGAATGCATATTGTTAGTGTCCATATTCAATTTCAGTCTGAACTTCTGAGTGATTAGTTCTTTGCAATCACTGCAGGTCTCGTTGAAGCCCCCTTTCTGCAGCCAGTGCACCTCAGAATAAAGCAATTCTATAACCATCATCAGCGATGAAACTGACGTCAGACCCCTTCTAGCGCTGTGAATCTGATTCGTTTTAACAAAGTACAAGAGGGTTCAGGCTTTTGCCTCGGTTTTAACGGGGGGGGGGATGTCCAACTGAAAACCGAATCAAAGGAATGGGTGTTTTTGCTCCTGGTCCGGTTAAATGCCGTGGTGAATAAAAATTTGCTTTCAAACTTTTAATCTTTGAGAATTTTACTTCTGTATGATTACAGACAGCTTATTTTGTTGAACATATTTTTTTATTATCGAAAGTTTCAATATTTGTATCGGCTATTTCAAACTGTACTTAACCGAAAGCATACTGTAGGTGAATGCGTCGTAATACAGCGCAGTTAGGAAACATTTGATGATTTCCCTAACTTTAAGGACCTTTTAATAGTACGGTTGATACCAATCAATCGTTTTGTCTCCAGCAGCGTTGTTGTCAGAGACAGTAGCTCTCGTGGGTAAAGTATTATCAAGCACAGTGGTTCCGATTGCATAGCAAAGTATACAGTATCTCTAGCGCAACGGAAACGGGGGAGAAAAACGTGCAAGTTTGCATTCGTAAATATTCAGACATACTGAGCATTTTTCTTTTGGCACGATTGAGAACCGGCAATAGTCCAACGTTGTGTTGGAAATTAAAAAGGGAAACCAGACCTATCCATCATTTACTGATCAGCGCTCTGAAAATCTGAAAGGGCTTTGATTTGGAAGCTGGAAACTGCTGCCGCTTTGTTGGGGTTACTGTACAGGGTACGTCTGAGTGGACGCATCATTGTGTGCTCAGACTGAAGCAAACGTTGGTGTGAGCTCTGTAGTTTGGAGGCAGCTCGCTTGTCTGTTTTTTTTTTATCTTGCGGTATTTTCCTGGTAAAGTGTCTGTATTAGATCGTTGCGTGCACGGAACGTTTGTTGCAGTTTCGGTGTTGACAGCTACAAAACTGGATTAAATTTGGGATTTTTTAAATTCAACCAAATCGCCTGGATATTATCTGGAGTATCAGTTGCTTCTGAGAACTCAATGGATCTGAATTGGAATTGTATGGATTTTTCTGGGGAGTCAAATTTGTAATTCATTTTGTTTTTAAAACATTTAAAGTAAACAAGGAAACGAATCGCAATGATTCTTGCAACTTTATACATCGTGTTGCCTTTGTTGGGTAAGATGAATTCTATTTCTTTCTTTGTTATTACCAAAAGCCATCAGTGTGTTCTTTAAATATTGGCATATATTTGTTAGTAGAGGAAAAAATATAAATAGCCGATGGAAAAAAAATACATCTCTTTATCTCACACTGTATATGGGGAAAACGTGGAAAACAATATGCATGTGTCTTGTTTGATTGCGCGGTGATTTGCGCTGCTTAATTGTCCTTAAATGATCCAAGGTGGAATTTTCATCAAAAACACTTCAATTAAGTTTGTGAAGAAACGGTGACGCTGTGGAGCTTTCCAGTGATCTTTTTCCTAATACAGTACGGTTTTGTTGAAGAAGGATATGTACTTTTAACGCTTATATTTGTTATATTTTGTTATATTGTTATTTGGGAATGTTGCTTAGTAAGCGACTGTTTAACATTTTCTTTTGCTTTGAAAGTATTGTGTGGCCATATGGTAATATGCCGTTTAAATGGTGAAATGTATAACATTACACTTATCATATTCACTTGGAAAAAGTTTTCAATATTAAAAAATAAATCCATACAAAATTGAACTTTTTTACATTAATTTATACGCAAGGAAACTTCAGCGAATATTAGGCTGCCAGGTCTTTTTTCTCTCCTCCTCAAGCGAAACAGCTGATTAATAAAGGGCTTTTATTCCTTCGACAGATGTACTGTTGTCGGCAGACGTGAATGTGTTGTCTGGGTCTAACCGACTGGACTGTGTCAAGGCGAGCGAGCAGTGTTTGAAGGAACAGGGCTGCAGTACAAAGTACCGGACGATGAGGCAGTGCGTCGCGGGAAAAGAGAGCAACTTCAGCATGGTGTCTGGACTGGAAGCTAAGGATGAGTGCCGAAGTGCCATGGATGCGCTCAAACAAAGCCCCCTGTACAACTGCAGGTGTAAAAGAGGCATGAAGAAGGAAAAGAACTGCTTGCGCATATACTGGAGCATTTACCAGAGCTTGCAAGGTACAGTACAGTATGTCACAGTTCTCTTTAATCCTTTCAGGAGTCAATGATCTATTTTCGTAAATAAAAAAAAACCCTGACCTACTGTAATGTACAGACACTCACGAAATGTTAAAGTAACCCTCCAACACTAATGAGAAAGCTGTTAGAATTGAAAGCTCAAGTAAGCATCTTCATGCACACTACACAAGGACAATACCTGAATAACAATGGAAAAAAATACAACTTGCTTTTGGGTGCTACACTACACTATAATGAAGGTTGTTTTTTTTTGGGGGGGAGGGGGGGGTCAAATGTATTTAATTATTCTTTGTGAAAATTGGGTTTCTGTGATTGACCCAGGAATCATGGTTTCGGGGTCAGTTTCCAGTCCTACATTAAAAAGATTCCTGCAAATTAATGATGTGTGAACCCATTTGGTCACTGGCTGGCTTTGTGGTGCAGCTTGCTGCTAATCAAGACTCTGGGGGCTTAAAGGCAGGACATGCCAGAGGGTGAGATTGTGACCACTGTTGCATAACCTGAACAGTACGCATGATCATCCATTAATAACACAATTTCCCAGAAGAAAACAAAAATCACTGACCCAACCCAAAATCTTCTAAACACCTAATTGTCTCAGACATTCTACCCTTTAATGTTACTTGTTAGTTCATTGTTTGTAGGAGGGAGACAATTTTTCATGTTTGAAATGGTTAGAAAGGACATTGATATACGAAAGAGAAAACAAAAGAGTTGGCTTTACACTATCCAAAACATGTAACACATTATAGAATTGTTTTTTTCACGTTACGTTAAACTTCTGATGCAAAACTAACATTTTTGCATTTTGAAGATATGTCAAGGTGAAAAGAATCTGCTCCATTTCAAACAGAGACAGTGAAATGATTTGCCATGATAATTGATATGACTTTATTATTGACTTCTTTTAAATATTATATCTATTAAACTAAACAACTATTAAAGAAAAAAGTTAAAAATATAAAAAAAACTATTTAAAAATTCACCCTTGTACTGCCTTAGCTTGGCATTTTAGTCTGATATAAAAAAGTAAACTAAATTACATTACAGTGTTTATTAAAACACCTTGCATATACAGTACATAATCACATTCAATCTGAACACACCTCATAATGTTAATTGTTTACATGAAGAATTGGTGGAACAAGCATACCCACATTGCACAACTTGTCAAGACTAAGACATCCTTAGGAAATAATTTTTCATCATATGACCGTTTCATTGCAGGAAATGATTTACTGGAAGACTCTCCATATGAGCCAGTGAACAACAGGCTTTCCGACATATTTCGATTAGCACCCATCATATCTGGTAAGAAAGTTGTGCATGTATTGAATTTTGTAAATTTAGAGTTAGAGCATTGATGAGCTTCCTTATAAAACATTTATGTTTTGAACTTTGATAATCCACATTATTTTTCTGTTATGTATCCTCATCCCAGCTGTGGTACCTGCTCATAGTGCTGTGAATGTCTTTAACCCAGTTGCAGATACAGTATGCAGAAACAAGAACAGTAAAATAAAAATGTTATTCCTCAGTACTAAATAAAATAATCAACCCCTCAAGGTTTCCTACATTTCAAACATTAAATATAAGTGGAAAGCCTAAAGATGTGATAAGTTTAAACAATACAATACTCTGCAGGTAAATAATAATGCCACAAGCAAAACATACATGCTAATACATGTAATGAGGAACTTATAGTGCAGAAAGAGAACATTGTAAATATGAACTCAGACTGTAAACTACAGGACAGAGAGCTGTTGAAAACGCTTGTGCCTGTTAAAACTTGTGATTTAGTTAGCTGTCTATAAGCAAGACTAGAGGGACGTACTGGAACTATTTGAAACTGGCTCTGTAGAGAACATTTTTTGCCTCTAGGTGTCACTCTTATTCCCTCATTTGGAATCAGTGTGGCAAGTGGTACAGATAGAAATCTGATATCTGTAATTACCTGCCAACTGTAATATGCAGGGATTGGAAGATATTGTGTCAAATAACTGGGCGTGGGAATTGCGTATGAGCTGGGATGTTTTATGTAAGTAGTATGTTTGATAGAAGCAAGAGAACTCCCTTGTGTCAATCTACAGTATACGGGCTGCAGATTGTAGAAAGTTCTTGATATGTTTAACACATTTGATGCATGTGGTCAGGTTTTGGGGGGTATTTGGCCATTCTTTCATCAAAGTACAGTTGAATTCTATAGTTTCACATGAGAGAAATGGTGGCAATAAATCTGTTTGAAATGACTATACTGCAAATAATACTGATTTACAAATAAAAAGCCTTTATGACTCTTATAATATTGAGGTTTCACAGTGATAACTATGTACTATACATTTGGTCAGCTGCATTAAAAATTAGCAAGGTACCTTACACAATATTCAGGCTCCAAAGTTCAACCCTGTTGTTTTTATAACGGCATTTATGCAGTAGATGTCTCTGTGAACAAGCCTTTGTAGAAAAAAGTCATATTATTTCACTTTAAAAGACATATGCATATTTGTGTTATTAGTTGTTGTAGTATTGTGACTCAAGTATATTACCTAATCCAGTATTTTCAAATCCCTTTTTGGGTAAAGGTCATTTCAAATTTAAAAAACTCATTTTATTCTGCAGAATCATCTCTTGTATATGGTTCCAAAGCAGGCGCTCCATAAATCTAAAATACAATTACAAGTCTGTTCATATTACCTTCCAGCATATCACATTTTATTGAATAAAAACACTGAAGACAAGTGCAAGAAGATCACTGTAGTTCTGCATTCTCCTGGGACATAATTCCTCCAGTAATTGCATGCAGAAGTGTAATAGTGGAATAAAAAACCCAATCTAATTTTATGTAGCCTGAAACAAATAGGATTAGAAACCAATAATTAATAAAGGTACCTTCATTCAACTGTCTGGTTTGTATTGGAACTAATTCAGGTGATAAATAGAAGAAAAGTGTAGTTTTAATTGACTTTGAATTAAAATGTAAATTATGCCTTAAATTGCCTGTACTTAGATTAAGTTTTATGCTGTTTATGACTTTGGCTCGTATCTTACAGTGGATCAATAGAGAACTATACCTCCAAAATTTAGTAAATACTCCATTCCCCTCTCTGTCTGGGCAAAGAGGTAGAGCTATTTGTTTACTGACTTGAAATATTTGCTAATGAATAAAACAGCTTGTTTTGTTTCCTAGGTAGAGTAATGCTTTTCCTTTGTTGACAAACACCTAAATGGAACCAAAGAGACAGCACCACAGTGTAATTTAACAAGCTCATAACATAATTTTCTGCAAACCTGTGTTAGACTGAGTGTGGCTTAATTGTGTAACAATTTGTTTAATAACCACCTCTCTGAGAAGAGAGTGCTTAAATAATTACTGGCTATGTGCTCTGTACCAATGGTTTAACAATAAAAGTAAAATTCTTTGTTCTTAGGACAAAGTGATAATAGTGTAACATTAAAATATCATACAGGTATGTGCATGCAAACAGATTGTATACAGTACTGTAGTATAGCTTAAAGAATATCCATACCATAGTATATTAATTCTGCTATGTACAGTATAAGTGGTCCTAGACTATTAAAGAATAACTGGAGAACTGAAGGCTACACATTTCTTTGCTAATTTATCAATAGATGTAAAAGGACTTTTATTCTGCTTATTTAGGGGAAAATCTGCTACATATTTTAATTAAATGGATAAACATGCAGAATAGTGTTACATATGTCTTGAATTTCCTCTTTAAAAAACAATTCTACTTTTTCCAATGAACAATTCTAAAATAAAAATGATTAATTTTGCACTCAAGCAAAGTCTTAATTGATCATTAAAACAAATAATAATGCTAAGAATTAATTAAAAAGTGTCTCTCTAGTTATATAGGAGTAAGATGTGTTTCAGATTCTCCAGTTCTTGTCATTGATTGATTGTCATATTTTTCTATGAACTGGATACATAAAGCTTATACAGTTGGTTCTTCTTGTGCATTTGTAGTATTTAGTGAAGTTATGGGTTTATTTAGCAACTCCTACCTTTAAAATGTTCAGATTTAAAAACAGATCAATGTAGTGCATAACAAGTAAAAATAAATCAAGGTACTATAGCACAATTAATATTTCAATACATACCCAGTTCTTTAATTTAATAAGAAAACATTCACAGTCATTTAATGAAATCACATACATTCTATCTTTATACAACAAATTATACAATAATTATCAGTATTCCTCTGTACAAACTTCCTTAAGTATGAAACAAATAGTACCTGTTGAAAGTTGAAAGTTGAAAGAGTTGAAAAATCCAGAATGGCTGCCTCATGGAAATGTATAAATATTAGTAGTCACGTGCCATATTTTAAATAGGCAATTACATTCTATGTCACATGAGGTAAATATCTAGATCGTTATGTTGAAGAATTTTATATCTGCAAGTGTCAAGATCTTAAGAACCGCAATCAAGTACAGTACAGTATGTCACAATTAGAGACCTAAGTAGGAGACTCAGTTGTGTCTTTTGTTTATTTTCTCAGAAGAATCGTTCTGGTACTTACTGAGCAAATCAGACTGGGTTTCCACTGAGACCTATCAATAGTGAAGTGCTTTCTTGAAGATCTCCACAAATGTGTATACATATGAATCCTTTAAAAAGTTGAGAGAAGTAAAATGAACTGCTTGGTTTCAAAATGCTCTTGAATAAAGATTAAAACACCATGGATTATAAACTGTTAAAGCATCAGACCATTAAGTATATCGCTAATTCTTTGGAAAAAGTGTTTCTACAATTACTTTTTAAATTTCAGATGCTCTACATTAAAATATTCATAATACCAATAGCTTTCATCAATCGTGGCACACAGGGAGTGACAAAAATAATTATTTGAAAATTTTATATGGCAGTTATTCATTTTAACCGAGCATTCATACAAATTAACTCATTCTAGCTCATGTATCTTCCCTTAAACTTTTTTGTAAATTTAAATTGATAATTGTTATGCCGGGCGTAACAGATAATCAGGTAACAGTGTTCTAATTGAAGTTTTATTAGTCTTTAATAAATGTGAATTGTGGTAAAGTATGCCTGGTGCAACATTTGTTCATTACTAACACTAAATACTGGATACTGACATAATCCTATTCTTTATGTGGAAGCATGCACTCCTTTTTTGCTCTTCATTCACATGTGTAGAGCACTTTCTTAATGCCACTTCAATTGATGTTAGCATTTCTACCTAGATGGCAAATTTGCCTCAGACTTGCCAGTCCTTGTTTTTTTTTCTCTAGTGTGATATGTTTTGTATGGCCTTTCATTGACGGACTGTTGAAAGACATTTCAGAGAAAATTCTAAATGCTGTATCGAGAAAAAATGTTAAACCATTAGCTTCATTTCAGTTTCCACAAATGTTTTCATATCATTGGTCACTTTCTGGTTATTGTGTTACAGATCACAGTGTTAAGGGCACCTTAAAAATCCTGAATTCAAAGGATTTCTAAAAAATACAAATGCACCAGTCTCAAAAGTCTAATCAAGTAGCTCATTACTCAGTGACTTTATTATGATTTTTCAAGTTGATATCATTAACCTAAAACAGTTCCTGAACAGTGAAAAGTCATAATGCAAATGTTACAGAGCATGCAGTAGTATTAGAATTTCAGAATTTATTATTACAGACCAACTGAAGATACAGAACTCATAAGAAAGTGGTATAGAATTACAATGCAATTCATATGAAAATAAGTAAAAATTAGTACATTCGAAAGATTGTTAGAACACCTAACATTATTTTTGTTGGGGCCTGCATTGTAAGTAATTGTGTTTCTGCCTGCTAAGTACTGTAAGTGCCAGTGTGGAACTGGAATGGATGTCTCAGACAGAAAACAGTGAATAATACAGCAGCTGTGTATCTGAGCTGCCCTTGTCAGTTTAAGCCACTGGAGGCTGCCTTAAGGACAATTTAGAGAAGGAAGTAATTGAAGGCATTTGCTGAAGTTGTTTCCAATTAAGTTTTACTTTGAAGGGGAACTGCACTCCCAATTTCTCAGACCAGTAATTACAAATTCGGTAAGAAAATCAATTCATTGATGGAATAGAAACAATTTTCAAATTTCGAATTAAGCACAAAATCGTGAACTTTGTCAAAGTGCTGTAAGTTGCCATGTTGTTGCAAACCCCTGGTCTTGCCTGGTAGCAGCCCTTCCTGTTTACGACTCACTGCAAAAACTTGTTCCAACACGATCTGCACTCAGAGTTAACAAGTTGTATTTGTCGGCAAAACTGTCTCGAAATCGAGAGCAATATTTCTATTCGATTAAAAAAGAT